CCGTGGCACAGACGACTATTTCGAGCTTTCGATAATTTGAGACTTACGGAATACGAAATTGCTACGTTGACAAAATGGGAAGGCACAAGATGGGCCAAGGAAAGATTTGAGAAAGAAAAAGGAATTATTATTAGGGATACAACGGGTGATGGAATAGAAGATTGGGTATCGCCAGAGTTACGACCTACAGTTGTGCGATTCGCAGTGCCAGCAGCAGAAGAAGGGTTGGAGGAGGAGGAAGGATTGGATGATAATGACTTGGAAGATGATGATGCAGAGAGTGATATCGAAATTATAAGTGTCGGAACTGCATTGAATGAGAGACTGATAGCAGCGGCTGCTGAAAGAGAAGCTGGCAATATCACGGCACCAATGGATGAAGCTTGGGAACAATGGATGAAAGAGGCGTACGAGACGGTTGGTGCCGGTATCTCGAATCCAAATTTGAATCCAAATGCCAACATCGTGGGTACGAGACCAGCTCCTAATGGATCAAGAGTTTATCTTGCACATCAATCAGCTCAACCTGCGAGTCATGCGAGCCATGCGAGAACGACGAATTTAGCACCCCTTTTCGATTCATCAAATGGTCGACAAATTCCTTCGAGGTATATTGACTTTGGACGTATTGACTCATCAAATATGTCCTTTTCAAGAATGCACACCGAAGCTGAAAGCTCAAGGGAATCTATCGAACAGACAATTATGAGAAGAAGGGATATTGAACAAGCAGTCATGAGAAGAGCTGATGCTAGTAGAGAACATCGTTATCTATATGCAACAAGACATCCGGATGTTTTGAGAAGTATTCATGGAAACCGTTATGTTCCTGAATATGAAGATTATTCTTCGTAGTGATGTGAGGTTTATTCATTTCTTGCTTTTCCCCCGGAATAGGAATCATTCATAGCATTTAAGGTTAGGGGGGCATACATCAAACACATATTTTCTTTCGCAGGAAGCATTCTCACACATATACATACATTCATATCGGCGTTTATATGGAATGGAATTACATATCTTCATCACATTTTTCAATGGAGGTCTTAACTTAAGCACGGCGTTTATAGCATATGGGTGGTGGGGAAGCGGGTAGGATATGATTGGGTGTCGGAATTGGGGATCGGGAATTGGGGATTGCTGAGGTATTAAGTTGCTTTGGCATCAATTTCACTTCTCTTTATATTAGTTTATTATTGTTGTTTGGTTGGTGGTGCATAGGATGGATGGGATGGATGGACGGTATGGCATGGCATGGGTGGGATTGAATCGGAATGGAATGGAATGGAAGAGGGGGGAGGAGGAATGGGGCAATGAGAGGAGATGGTATATTTACCTAGCTTTTATAGTACTAGTATTCAATATACAAAGTTATCTATATTTGTCTTGACTCTTGGTGTGCTTTTTGTCTCTTTCTTTGGGTTGAATTGTGTGGTGTGGTGTGAAGTGAGGGGAGATGAAGTTAAGAATAATGTGGAAGTGGATATGAATGAAAATAGGAATCAAGAGGCGAATCTGGTGTGTGTAGGTTCTGAGAAGAAGGTGTGAGAAGTAGATGGGTTGATAGATGGATTTTGGAATAGAGAATGTATTGGGCTAATTGAATTGAATAAAGAGAGGAAGAGAGGAAGAGAGGGATTGGAAGCGGTGGGCTGGGTGATATGAAATGAGAGTATGAAATGAGAGTATGAAATGAGAGTATGAAATGAGAGTATGAAATGAGAGTATGAAGTGAGTGAAGTGAAGGAAGAGAGGGAAGATAGGGAAGTAGGGAAAACTATGGATATCTATTTCTTCTATTGAATGAATCAATATTATTTTGTGGATAGGATGGGATGGGATGGGATGGGATGGGATGGGATGAGTTAGGACTCTTGACTTTCTACTCTTGACTTTCTACTCTTGACTCTTTACTCTCGACTCTCTATCTCATATTCTATCTTGTTCATTTCATTCCATATTCTCATCCCAAAACACCAGCTGGAACACCAGCTAAAACACAAAAACGAAATGCATATCCAGATAACAAGATAAATATCCAGGAACACAAAACAAACGCATCTCTTGCAGTAATTCACATGCTCATTACTATTGATAGCTGTCGATAATTGAATATCTTTCAAATGTATAGTTGTATATCTCATGAACTCCTCGATGAGATGAATTTGATGATTCGATGATTGGATGATTGGATGATTTGAATTGGATACCAAGTTTACAAAGAAGAATGCGACGAGACAAGAATCGGAGAGACCATTCCTAGAAACTCAAGACGAGGTGATATCTATCGAGTCAGGAGGAGTGAGAATACGATAGGTGTCCTACGTGGATTTCCTTCCGAGCGAGAGGTAGATAGATAACCTGATCGTATTTCCATAATCCGCATCGATTCCGGCTTTCTTTTTGTGGAACGTGAAATGATGTAGTAAGTAGTAAGTTAGTTGGGAAGAACGAGAATACGTTTTTTTATGGATCGATTTGGATATTAGGTATGTATGGATTATGCATTCGCGTGCTCAATTGTTCTTTCTTCTCATGGGTGGGTACACGATTAGAGTGTATATGCATATATGGATTTAGGTTGTGTGCGATTAGATATTATTACTTTCTAGATACATTGGTAGGTAGATACCGTGTTGGTTGTTTACGTTTGTGTTATATCCACATCATGAAATATCGAACATCTAGCTATCCCATCCCCATCCCATCCCATACTACGCCATTCCGTTCCGAACTCCGCTATTCCTATCCAATCCATCTTACTCCAACTTGTCCATGCTATTTCTCATCATGGTATTCATAACATCTGTCCAATTTGCTAATTTTCGCTTCCCTATTCAAATCCAACAACGCCCAAGTTCAACCCAGCACATAACATCTATGTACTAATTATCCAAAAGATAAGACCACTCTGGAATTTCTTTGATGAGACTCCACATATACTTCTCCACCTTATTCGCACACTTTGCATAAGGCGTGGAATCGTTATTGTATTTTTTACAATTGGAGAAAACGAGCGTTGCGTCCGCGACGAAATCTTCCGGTTTCTCATATGAATCCTGATCGAGTTTTCTTTCCATGGTTTCAAAATCCATCGGGTTTGTAATTACAGAGTAATAATCCGCTACTTCATTACCATTGACAGGAGCCTTGAAAGGCCAAGCTTTCTGATGATTTTGAAGCGAACTCAGGAGGCGAGAAAGTTGAGCATAATTTGGTCCATGACGAGGTTGGCGAGCTAATTCGTCCATGGCGGGTGTCCAGCCAGATGCACGGATAGCTGGGATGGACATGGGATCGATTGGAAATGCGCCGTTCTTCCATTGTTTGGGTGGTGCGTGGACTTCGTCTGATTTGCTAAAGGCGAGAATCTTCGCATTGACTACCTCCTTTTGCTTAACGATCATGCGGTTTGATTCAAGGTAGCGAACTCTGGGAACCATTTCGCAATGCATGATTGTTCCACCTTCGTAATCTTTGATGTAACCCATCCAGAGAGGTTTTGGTAGAGTGATCTCTTTGGTGAATCCTTGTTTCTTGAAGTATCCGATAGCATAATTGTCGGCGTAGGTAAGGAAATGCATGACTTTGGAGGAAGCTTTGACATAATCCTTGAGATGGTTCATGAGATGCGCACCATATCCTTTGACTTGCTGATCGGATGATATGGCACAAAAAACAATCTCCGCAAACTCGTGATCGTCAAATGGTCGATACGTAATTCCTCCTAATACTTCTAGTGTTGCTTTCTTTACCAATGCCATAGATAAATGATTCCGATCATAAACTAGACGAGCAATATATTCCTTTGGCATTTTGGGGAGTTGTTTTTGAAAAATACCTTTCAGCCCCGAAAGAATTATAGTACTTTCATTCGTATCGTCATTATTGACAACTCGGAAATCAATTTCACCCTCTCGCTCTTCGATCACTGCGGGCTTGATTATTGTTAGACAGAAAACTGATGATTGATCGCATTAGCAAACTCACTTTTTCTGGAAAAGGTATAATGTTAATGTTGGCAGGATGTTCTGCATTTGTCTTTTTCAAATTGTCGGTCAATTCGGTTTCACTCATTTTCATCTTTTTAGAAGATACTGGAAAACTAGGGGGCTCCTCTGTAGCTTTTCGCTTTGGCGCATTCTGGGAATTTGGGAGCGACTCTTCCGTACCAGCCTTTCGTTTTGGTGTATCTTGGAGATTTGGACCCATGACTGTGTTGGATTCAAGAGCTTCTTGATCCGAATCCTCGAAATCTGAAATCGATTCTTCGGAGGTTGTTAGAGTGTCTAGGCTTGATTCTCCTGACACAGGATGTTCTATGAAATTAGGTGTTTCCTCAATGCTAGACTGTGGTAACTGAGTACGTGATCTTCTAGAACCTGTTGTATTCCAATATTGGCCCAAATCACTTTTGATATCTTGGGAAGCCATGTTAGCAACTTTTGTCTAATTGTATGTAGATTGAGGAACGGCTTACTGTAGTTCTAGAATATAAAGATAGATAATAAATCAGGGTTTACTATTGTTGTTGCTACTTGCCTATTCTATTTCTCTTAATATATTGAAGCGTATTGTCGTTACCAAAAGTTGTAGAATGTCAACAGGAAGGAGGGGACAGAGATGGAGAGAGTTACGTTTAACGTAAGAAACCTGGAGAAGTTGATCATCAAGGTTCCCTTCATTATGTAATCATGCTAGTGGCTCGAATGAGTGGCTCGAATGGCTTAAGTGCATTAGTGCTTCTGGGTCCATCGGTGGAGCGTTTTTCCGACGCTAAACTATTCCAGGATGTGAAGCCAGATTGCTGATGCTTTCCACAGTTGTCGTAAGCTTTGAGCTATATCAATCGACTTCAATCTACTGCAATTGTACATAGCAGAGACAATAACAACCCTTCTAAATTTCAGTCAATTGATTTCTTCTTAAGTTTTCGCTCAACCTTTTTGAAAAAATCGATTCAACTTTCCCTACCAGTACACACTCTTCAAACTTATCATATGGAGTCCTCATTACACGGAGTTTGGGAAAGTGCCGTTGGCAATCCCTTCATCCCTACCGTTGGAAAAGACAGTCAATTCTCCTTGGGATTCTCATTATTGTGTATTGGAGTTCTTCTCTCTGGATTGTTTGGTCTCAGTATGCTTTTCAAGAATCTAATCACTAGGCTTGTAGCTAACAATTAGTTCTAGACCGATCAGCTCTCACTCTGCCATTACTTGGACTTCCTGCTTCAGCAGTCATTGCGTATGTTATATTCGAATATTCTTCTTCGTACAGATACTAACATCAAGTAGGTTTGGTTCAGTTTATATGATCTGTGCGGTTGGAGTTTATGTTTAAGATACCCCTCCATCATCGAGACGAACATACTACGTTACCGCATTTTTGTACAATAGCTGGATGAGATAAAAACAAAAGGAGTTAATATAATTGTCATATCTGATTTCGCCGATACAATATTCAATCTCCTCTACAGCAGTTCCTCTTTGATAATTCACCCACCTATTTCTCTCTCTCTATCTTCACAATGTCGACACCTCCTGTTCACGAAGAGCCAGCAGTGCCAATCTTCAAAGCTGTTTCCAGTTCTGCCCGGCAGCTCTTCCAATTACTCAATACTATACGATTCGCAACCAAAGTTCAAGTTCAAATTAGTACCCAAGGTATTCGATTTGCGGTTGAAGAATCTAGAGTAATGCAAGGTTAGTTCCCATAGTTCAATGGACGTAGTTCGCCTTGTAATTTTTATCTATAGGAATTGTATTTCTTGACAAAGCCTTATTTACCACTTTCAACTGTACTCTTCCAGAATCGAATCCCGAAGAGGATGAAGATGAAGATGCATCTTCAAATGATTTACCTGCCTTTCAAATATCTCTTTCCGCCTTACTCGAAACTTTGCAAATTTTCGGCGCAGCAGATGCTACTTCAAGATTTGCCAGATCCGAAAATGAAGGATATAATAGTAACATTCGTCCCAATCGACAAAATGCATTCAGCAATCAAGCTTTAGGAATGGCGGGCGTATGTCGTTTCTCTTATGCCGGAACAGGGTCTCCTTTCAGTATCATTCTCGAAGAAGCAGGTGTCACTACAACTTGTAATCTCAACACCTATGAACCAGAAGACTCGGAAGAAATTCCATTTCAAAGAAATGCGATGCAGGTTAAAATTATTACACAAGCTCGTTGGCTTTTCGATGCCATTCAAGAGTTGAATAACATGACTCCAACTCGGCTTGACATTCTTGCCCTTCCTTCAAATCCCTATTTCAGCTTATCTGCTTCTGGCCATCTGGGGAGCGCTAGTGTTGACTTTTCCAAGGGTAGAGAATTATTGGAAACTTTTACTGTTAAAGAAAGGTGGTCTCAAAGTTATCGCTTTGACATGGTGAAAGCTGCTGGGGATGCTATGAGACTAGCAAGTAAAGTTAGTGTAAGAGGGGATGAGCAAGGAGTTTTGAGCTTACAATTTATGGTGGAGGTAGATGGTGGCGGTGTTAGTTTTGTTGATTTCAGATTTGTGCCATTTATTCGAGGGGAAGAAGATGAGGATGATGAAAATAGTCAAGAGGATGAGGATGATGGGTTTGGAGAGGGAGGTGATGATGAATAGTAGATTATCTGAAAAATATCAAGCAATTTCATGTGATTTTGAGTATCTGATGTATCAAAACTTTCCGGTCTTCAGTCTAGCTGTCTTTTGACATGTTTCATCGTCATATTCTATCACAAAGTGTATCCTAATTGTGCTATTCTCATTTGGTCTTTTGCAGGTTGGACTGTACGGTACTACAATTCACCTAGAAGCAATGAATCTACACATTTACCGTACGTGAGCTATAGTATACAGCACTAAGCGACGTAACTCTAGGTATAATCAGAAAGACACATCTCCTCGAGAACTTTGCATCCTCGCAAGAAAATTCATTAACTTGACATACCTACCTAATTTTCTCCCTCAACTCTTAACAGACCAAACCATCAAAACCCAACAAACGCTTGATCAACCCACAATAAAATGGAAATGGCAACGACGTTGAACAACGAACCCATCGCCATCGGGCTCACATTCGCTATCATCATATCGACGATGCTATTCATCGGGCTTACATTCGCTATCATCATATCGCCGATGCTGTTCATCTGTGGTAAAATGGTTCGTGGAACTGATGTTAAATCTGCAGAGGCCAACGCACGAAAACTCATTATTTCGCAATTACTACGTCTCGGACCGCATAGATTACGGGGTATTTGTGAGGAAGAAGGAGTTAGTTTTATGATTAGGGGTGGGGATGGAGGCCTTGCTGATGTCGGCGCTGGCGTTGGAGATGATGTTGGAGAAGAAGTTAGAATGTTCTCGAAACAGCTTACACAACAGGTGCGAATACAGTTGAGAGGAGAATTGAGATCGCAATTGGAAGAGGACGTGAGGGAAGAAGTTGAGAGGGAGTTGAAGGTGGAGATTAGAGAGGAGATGGGGAGGAGTGGGAGGGAGGGTGAGTTGGTGGCGGATGTTAGGGAGGAGGTTAGGCAGGAGATTCGGGGGAAGTTGAGGAGAGAGATGGAGGGGGGTATGAGACGGGAAGTTAGTAGGGAGTTGAAGGCGGAGATTAGAGAGGAGATGAATAGAAGTGGAAGAGAGTTCGGATTGATTGCTGAAGCGATGGCAGATATTAGGGAGGAGGTTAGACAGGAGGTTCAGGGAAGATTGAGGAGAGAGATGGAAAGAAATGTGAGGTGAGTCTTGTAGGGGTTTTCTTTATGTCATGCTGATCATAAGTCCGTTACTAACATGATACCGATATAGAAGAGTGATTGATGTGGAGAAAAAAGAACTGGACGTGAAGCTGAGGAGAGAGATGGAGATGGAGGCGAGAATGGCTGAGGTTGAGAAGCAGGTCGAGAAGAAAGTCGAGGCGCAGACTGGAGTAAAAGGCATGGTAAAAGGGGATGGAAAAGGAAATGGTAGTGAGGAAATTATGATCTCGACAACGACCGCGCAGAAGGAAAGCGGAAGCACGAAAGGCAGCGAGGAGGTTATGTTTTCAAAGACGACCACACAGAGTATTCTTGCAAGAACGAAGACGAGATAGCAGTTTGCCAGAAAGACTGTTCAGAAAACTGAACTTGTCTTGTGATTACCACACTCCTGTCTGATGGTATTGCATGGAGTCGGTGGGGATGCAAGTATCGGCTGGGAAAATATGGATCGTGGGTGTAATGGAGGTGTTTACCTAGATGAGTCCTATTAGAGATATCCACCCAAAGAAGTGTGAGGGTGACTTCTTCATCGTATTTCAATGCAATTTCCATGTTTTGCTAAACTGCACCAAATCATCACTGTTCAGTTCTATTAGTACTAAATAAAGGCACTCCGCCATCAATAGATATAGACTACTGTTTGAAACAAATCACTGTATGGATGCCAGTAAAATTTCTTTGTAATATCCATGTCGCGGCTTCACTGAGGAAGACTCTTTCTGTACCCTGCCAGCATGTTCAAGAAGAAAAGTGAAATATGTTTTATTATAAAGCATCTGTGTAATGACCCTGCAAAGGAGCTTTCAGCATCTCATTCAATTGGCCTCATCTCTCCTTCCTTGATCTCAAACAGCAGCTGGGAAAGTGATATCGTGTTCTCACCAGCACCAATTAGCTAAAGATGGATCGCAAATTATGTCATGGAGACCCTTTGCCCTCTTCGCTAATTTGTCTACCGCAACATTGAAGCAATGCTATACATGAGAGTGGAAGAGTATTGATCTTACAGTAAGCGATGACCGCGAAAGTTGTTCTTCTTGTGTAACAATTATTTGCCTACAAGAGTACGCAACAACGACCACCAGTCACTCAATCGTTCCATCTCTGTTGTTCTCTATCATACCCAATTACCGCTAAATCCACATTTAACGTTCTTAGCATCATTGCCATTGTGAATTCCTGTACTAATTAGTGGTATGTCAGATCAAACACTAATGAACCTACATCTTCCTCTCCGGGATTCTCTCCAGTGTCTCCTAGACCCGGGGCTCTCTGTGCCTTCTCATTCTCCGTTTCGGGATCAATGCTATATTCTGCATAAACGTCTCGTCTGTCGTTGTCCTTACCCTCCTCGTCCTCATCCTCAAAGTTGTTGTTATTGTTGTTATTGGCTTCATCCTGATCCCAATTGTTTTGGTACTCATGTTGTCTTTTCTGCATTTCCTTCCAAGCTCTTGGTCCACCCATCCTACGCCATCCAACAACATCAGCATGACTCCTATGGCCCAAGCACAGCGCGACATACCTATTGACCCTATCTCTAACCTTCCCAAATAATTCTTCTGCTGCCAATCTACTTGCGCTCCTCCACTTCTCACACAAATCTACCAACTCCCCGTCAATCTCTCCACTTCCATTTTTATCTTTAGCTTTACTATCCCTCTCAATCTTCTTCGCCTGTTCTGCCGTGTCCAATTCCTCCTTCACTTCCTTCAATAGCTTCTCTAATTCCCTCTGATCCTTCAATAGTGGCGCAATATCCGGATCGGCATTAATAACTGCTGCTGAAATGGGCGATGTGAAAGATTTCTTGGTGCGAATCGCAGTCTTTGGAGATGGGATGCTCACGACAGGGTAAGAGGTCGGAGTTTTGGAACTTAAAGGAGTAGTAACTGCGGCGGCAGCAGTGGAAGCTCGAGTATTTGGAGAGCCTTTAATAAGAGGGGATTTGAATGGAGTCTTGAAAGGTGATCGAAAGGGTTTTTGGAGAGTACTTGCAGCTTCAATTCGACGACGTTTCGCTGCTGGGGTAGACATCTTGTGAGTTTAAATTGAGTTAGTGCTGCTGATGGTAAGTTATTGATCAAAGATTGTGAAGCATTGTGTTTTTACGAGCATTCTTTAGTAGATGAGTATGTTCTGTAATGAGTTTTTGAAGTTATGGTTTCCGAAAGGACGAGATTCTGAAGAAAGCTCGGACCTCTCTTGTATTGCTCTTCACAAGGAATCATTTGCAGTATGAAAGTCTCACCAGACATTGCCTCTCTAGCAGTATTATAAACCAATCGATAAAAGAGCGGATAGGCCGATTTATGGCACATTAATCTACTGGTCTTCAAGCGGAACTGACCATAAATCATTTCCTAATATTTTACAATTCTATATGTAGCGATGAAGCAGTGATGAAAACACGCTCCGTAATCTTGTAGGAGTCATATTCAATGTTTTCAACTGCTCTTCCCATGATTTGCTATCATCCGATATAACATCTTCACTTAAGATCTTCTGAATATCCCTGGATGGACCCAGGTGCTCACCTCGTGGAATACCTGATAGGTCGACTGTGACAGTATTGTTCTCGATATTCTTGTTGCCTATAACAATTATCGCACCGTAACGTTTTCGCTTTGCTTCGGAAATCTTCTTCTTGACTGATCGGGGACTATCATCTAGCTCGATGGGAACCTCGATGGTATGCCGTGATTTTGGCCATGAATCATGATACGCTCCCTGTCCCAGTTGCATTTTGACTTCATTCGCGTAACTCACTACTTCTTCCGAATCATTTACCGTGAGGATGATAACTTTGGAGGGATTTAACCAGAATGGCCAGTGACCATTATAGTGTTCTATCAAGAGAGCCATCATTCTTTCGACAGACCCGAGAATAGCTCTATGAATTAGAACTGGCGCCACCGGTCCTTGTTTAGCCAACAATATCGGGTCATCTGTCGTTTCTCCTTTGGCCTCAATTTCTGGTGCAGGAGCTTGATACTCTAATTCAAAACGTTTTGGCAACTGGAAATCGAGTTGAATTGTTGCAGTTTGATGCTCTTTTCCATCTGAATCTTTCAAGATTACATCAATTTTTGGTCCATAGAAAGCGCCATCACCATCGTTCATGGTCCATGGTTGTCCACTTTCATCCAATGACTGCTTCAAAGCTCTCTCAGCATTGTCCCATTCTTCCTTTGTTCCAATGTAATGATCGCTCGGTCGAGTAGACAATGCCAATCTATATGGGCCAAGCCCTAACGTCGTATACACCATTCTAACAAACTCCAATGTACCAGAGATCTCTTTACCAATTTGTGAAGGTCGACAAAAGATGTGCCCATCATCCTGGTGGAATCTTCGTACCCTGGTTAAACCGCTCAGCGCGCCGGATATCTCGTTCCTGTGCAATGGACTGAAATCAGTATATCTTATAGGCATCTCACGGTAGCTTCGCTGCTTTGATGCGAATATCAAACAATGACCCGGGCAATTCATTGGCTTCAAACCATATTCTTCATTCTCTCCTTTTTGGCCCCCAATTGTTTCTCCAGATGCACCACGACCAACCACTGAATACATGTCTTCGGCATAATTCTCCCAATGTCCCGACTTTTCCCATAGGGACTTTTTGTATATTGTAGGTGTTATAACCTCCTCGAAACCAAAATGTGAGTATTGGGCACTGAGAAACTCGGTCAATGCTTTGAACATGCGTGCACCTTTAGGAAGAAAAAGAGGAGAGCCGGGACTGTATGGGGAAGTGGTAAATAGTTCTTGTTCGACTCCAAGCTGTCGATGATCAGCTGCCGGAGTTGAGAGACTTGCTGTGGTAGCTTTCGCGACGTTCGAGACATTCGAGGCTATTGATAGACTCTCGCACGATGCACATGAACGGGTCAGAATAAATGTCGCATGGTTCGACTTCCTTGGGCCTATATATCGAAGACATTTTGGAGGTAATTTGACATTCAGTCCATTCCGGAACAGTCGCAAGGCTCTAGAGGAAACCATCACGCAATTTGTGAATCATACGCTGATATCAAAGGAGCCTTGGGAATCTTTCGAAATGGAGCTCTGAAGCTTATTTAGTTAGGTAATTTTTCCAAAATGGTGGGGTAAATCACGAGTTAACGCGGTATCGCGTTTGTACGTGACGTTACATGAAGCCTGAAAAATACAATACACCAAAGGCAGCAAGGAGAGACAAGTTCCAGGATATTATATTTTGCGGGGTTGCGATAGGTGGGAAAGACAACAACAAATCATGAGACAACGTCATTCATCTATTTAGCCCTCATAACATAGATTAGAATAAAGCTGCTCTCGCCACTATCAATATTTACATATGTTCACCACATTCAACTCTTTCTAATCATTGCTTATCGAATTCTCAGTCCTATCTTGCCGTTGTGTTGCATATATCCTTGCGTTTAACAAAATACTAGAAAGGACAACCTCATAGCGTTTACATCATTTGCATTATCATCACTTATCACTACAACGATTTCAAGCAGGATTTAATCATCAGACGCAGCTTCCTACGATGCGTGGCGGTAGACCAAACCTACAGCTTGGTGAATCATGGGTCGTAGAAGGCAACCAGGAGGACTATGAAGAATATTTGCCACCCATCGAAGCAGATTACGATCGTCGAACAAGATCTTCTGTTCCAAGAAGACCTACAAGAGGTAGTAATAGATCCCCAGAGCCGGAATTCGTGATGCCTTCTCTGGACGCGGAAACTCTAGAAGCTTCCTGGTCTCAGGCTGAGAGCACTAGTAGAAGCCCTCGGCGATTTCAAGAATCTCAAAGACGAAACTCGCGACATGACCAGAACCTTGAAAGCTCAAACATACGGCTAAGAACCCAACCTACCCATAACAGATCCTCTTTGGCTCCTCCAACTGCAAATTCTCATTCACCACATCATCCAAATTCTGACGCCAAAGATATCATTGCTACCTTCATCGATCATACAACAATGGTCTTTGCATGGGTGCTAGAGATCCTAGGGGGCGCGCTTAGACTTTTGAGAACGCCTCTATCTTACTTACTTGCTATATGCATTCTCTCCGGCATCGGTCTCGTAGCACGAAGCCTGGTTACCACATCCATTTACGCATCATTATCTCCCATTTGTCTGATCCCAGGGTCATCTTTGTTGAACTTACCGTTCTGTTCTACTCATAATACTGATTCTAGTAAGGCAAGAGTACCAGTTGAGTTTGAACAAGTTATGATGGTTCAATCTCAGTTCGAAGATATACTCAGGGAAAGTGCTGGAGGAGTCTCCCTGCCACTAGATATGAAACGTGGAGAGAGCTTTCTTAGAGATCTTCGTCAACTTGTACGATACAGTCAATTAAAGTCGAGGTAAGCAACCATTAGATACTTCCAAATAGGCGAGCCTCTTTATCGAAAGTCTGGTAGCCGAAGAGCACAAGACTAGTCTCGCAAAAAGAGCCAGAAACTAATGCTTTGACTTACAGGAACGAACTTGTCATGGAATTTGATGGATTCATCGATACTGCAAAAATTGCATCATGGGACCTTACAAAGTTCAATAGTCATGTGGGTAGAGCGGTGGATAGTGTCATTTCTATCACACGCTGGACCTCACGAGTTCTTGATGGTATTCAAGAACGCGAAACTTCCCGTGGTTTGATCGGAACATTTGTCAATGACAAGCTACTTGCACCCTTCCAGCCTACCAAATTTTCTGAAAGACTTGTTCTTGATCAGTATGTGGAGCATACTCGAGCTGTGGAAGAAGAAATCGCTCGTCTGGTTTTGGAAGCGCAAGCTTTATTGATGGTTCTAAATAATTTAGAAGATCGTTTGGAGATTATTCATGGAATTACAGTACGAGACGGCGTTCAAGTACAAGCTAGCAAGGATGAGACTCTGTCAGAATTATGGGCATGGCTTGGTGGTCATCGAGGCAAGATTAACAAACTCAATGGCCAGCTCAATTTGTTGAAAGAAATTGGAGACCGACGTAAAATTGCTTTAGCACATGTATCGGGAACTTTGATCAAGCTTCAAGAGATCAGTTCTGGTCTGGAGGACTTGCGAGAAAGGGTGGCCGCACCAGAATTGCTGCGCGACAGAATCGACATACCCTTATCCGTTCACATCGAACACATTCAAACGGGCATAAATCGACTGGAAGAGCAGAAACTTATTACACAAAAATCAAAGGACGCTATCATGGAGAGAGCGAGAAATCGTCATGATATGGAAGGAAATCTTATAGATGGATGACGTATCTGGGTCTCCGGTTGCTTCGGCGGTTGTCAGAAATTCTCGCTAACGAACAACTCACGTACAGTTGTTAGGTACTTAATGATAAGGATTAAAATCTTTTTTACAGCTGTGACGATCAGGGTTCTATTACTGTATACTCTGAGGGCCAGTATCTTTTTCGTAGCTCTTGGGTGAATTTGTGGGTATCAAGAAGCTTAGTGGATCGGCTTCGTTAGTTTGCCAGCTAGTAGCTCATACGCTAGTAGCTGAGAGGTTCCAATAAACCCCACACCCCTCTTCGTATTTCTTCCTCTTTACACTTTACTTATTTCTTCGTTTCAATATATCGATATCTACGTACTGCATCCTTATACATTATTCTCTCACCCACCTCGACTTCTTCATCTCGGCCCACCCCACTCGGCTGTTATCCTTCTGATTATTCCTCTTCTCTCGAATTTCTTCCGTCTCAAATCTTTCTCCTCTTAAACCTCATTGGTCGTTATTTCTTAAGCTAATCCGAAACAATGGCCGGAGTTAATGAATCTACGATGGGAGAAGATGAAGGCGTTTTCCCAAAGGAAGAAATCCCTTCCTCCTACATTCCCAATAATTTTACACTACCAGGACAGGAACTTCAAAGACTGCCGGTAATTCCATGTGAGATTTTAGTTAAAGGATCTCGAGCGATCATTCCGGAACTTCAAGTCATTGCTTCGGAAATACGAGTCCTTGGAGGAAGAATTCATTTCAGCCAGAAGAGCTCGAAGCGAATCTACAACGAAATAATTTCCGATCAACACCACCCCGAAAGAATGAAAGAAATTGACGATGATCGAGAGAGACAAAATGCCAGATTTAACGAGCCAGCTTTGGACCTTCTTACTATAGAGCAAGATCTCGTAAAGGATCTAGAGCCGATTTCGCGAGATTTGACTTTTGTCCGAAGATTCAAACCTATGTTTGATCAGCAGAGAGAGATTCTAAAACGCAAGAAGACTGTTTCGCAACAGAAACCACAGAATGGCACGAAAGTTTTATATGTTCATGCGGAGGATAATCTTTATCCACGAAGTGTTAAAGGGACGGCTGGGCGCATAAAATTAATACCAGTATTTCAATTCTCGGAGCGTGTTACAACTCCGGAGGAGATCGAATATTCGAAAAAGGATCAAAAGCTGGTACTATCTAAAGAACTGACAAAGGATATGTTGAAGCATTGTGTCCTACGAATTGACCACAACGATTATTTACTCAACGACTGGAGAAATTTCGTAGCCCTGCCTACAGAAGACCAAAGTGTAGGGGAAAGCAGTATAGAATTAGTGAAGAACCATTTGCTCCACGGAAGATGGGTATGGATCACAAAGGAAACTGAAATTTGTCGTAGGAGTATCGTGATTGAGCGAACGTCTCAACTTTACGACGCTCGATTGATCTACATTCTCAGCAATGATACACAACTGCCCAACCGACTCGAACCGCTCAAGATTTTCACTCAATCCAGACGCCGAAAGTGGGATACTTGGGAGAAACCGCAAGACCAGCAAGAGTTTTATTTGGTCTCAACGGAGGCAAAGCTCTGGAGATGGGTACATGGTAAAGCTTATATAGAAGGTGAAGGCGGGCCGCTTGCGTGGATAAATCACGAGAACAACAATGATTTGGCCAGATTCTCCCGTCTAGAAAACCAGGGACATCGTGACTGGAGGACAAGAACGGCAATATTTGGAAAGAGAATAGATCGTTCTCTATGTATCACACCACCCATGGTCAAGATAGATTCTGGCCTTGGCGGAATGGAAGAAATCAATAACTCCGGCGAACCCTCTTCTTCTCGTACCGAATTCGTTTCCAACTTGAAGCATTTACCTGGGTGTAATAGGACGAATACCCCGGGATTTGGCTGTGATTGCCCAGGTCCCGCCCAAGAGGAGGGCCATCAGCTGGATGGTGACTGTAGTGGGAAATACCAAAAACGTATGAAGAGACTGATTACAAAAGGATATAGCCTCGAGCTACGCATTTCCAAATTAGAAGCTGTTGTTGAAATTGCAATAAGTGGAAAATCAATTCGCAAACGGGATAAGATTATTCCAAGATCGAAATCCAAGCGTTCATCGACAGGTTCAATTCCCGCAGCGGTGACAACACTCTAATGCTCTCACGATCTTGCACATCAATACTGGATATAGAGATATGATCTTTTTCATTTTTTGATGTTCTACTTAATTTGTAATTTGTAATCGGAGACCGATGGATCGCAGGAGATGGAGATTTGAATGAGAGCTATATGTTTGCTGGATAAATTTGTAATCTTGAAAGGGGAAGAGGAATGTTGCGTCTTATTGGGTTTGTTCTTGGGGCGAGGGAATATGATCATGCGTAAAGAGTTACGATTGATATGACTATATACCAATAACAACTTATAATAATAATAATTACGGTTCGATTTTTCCTCATGTTGAAATACGCAACCGAATAGGTTGTTTTGAGACTACAGGATGCTATGGTGCAATCGAGAAACATGCCACTATTCCCATGGCTCAAGTTGGGTGAAGCCTGGCGAGCTCAGTATCAAATTGAATTCTGAAAGTGGGAGGAAGAAAGCACATGATTTTTTTTCTGGTTGGATCACGTCTAATCTAGATGATTTGTACTCGGGTTTTCTTGTCATGTTGTGAATTTAAGTTCTTGATCCAAAGTCAATCTTTCATTCTCTCGCCAGATTGGTGACTAGCAACAAAAAGCGGGTTATTTCCATCATAGGTACGAAGACCTCGTCTTGTTCTAAACACTTCGTCTTTGGTTTCCTCTTGTTTATATCATATCTTTCAACTAAACCCAAGCTAATGTCCAAGAAAAAGTCTAAATGTGGGGGGATCAACGGGCAGTTTGATACTAGAAACTTGAGCCGAGACTAAGTTCCAACTACTGTCGTCTTGACACCCTGCATCTCAGGAACGTCGTCATGATAGCTTAACGGTTAAAATTCTAATACTCCAAGCCTTTTAAATTCATCCAATTTCTTGCATATACTTCTTTTAAATCGTAACTAATTGTAGATCTTTGTACCCAACGTCAAAGTTTTTTCCATCCTAGCCAACACAAGCAACCTGACTAGCCAAATCATAACACCTCTCATCAAGATCTTCCATATATCAGTGGCTAGTTAGATTTCGAGACCTCCAGATGATCGCATAGCAAAGGTAATTGGTTAATCTTGAGAAATAATAGTTACTGTTGCACATCTACCTCACATGCCATTGCTGTATTTCCCATGTTTGATGTGATCTTTCCCATCTATTCAGAATGGGATTTTGCAATGGATTACGCTTGTTGGAATGTGGGTTGAATTCTAGTGGTTGATGGAGTTTCTGATTCCAAACCGATTGACACAAGATGTCAGATTAGTTTAGCTCTTATGAGCAGCGATTCCGAAGAAGCGGAAAGGCTTCGAGGAAAGAAGACTTTTCATTATTTAGATGTAGCTTGTAATGCTTAATGTTGCTCCTTAAAACTGTGTGTATAGGTTCGATGTACTCATCGTCCCTTGTGCGAGAGTTGAGCACTTGGGTGGGTGTCCAGGCCGCTAAGATAGAAATTTAATTCTTCATTCTTTTTCTTATGAGAAATCAGTCTAGCGATGCCATGGTGGATGGTTGTTAACTCAATGAGATCGCATCGTTACGAGCAGTTTCTACATATTTCTCAAGATCGTTGTGGATCATCGTTTGATGCATTCTTACAGCAGTGATATCAATATGTGGCTGGATTGACGTGGCGGAAGGTGGCTTTGCGCCGTTGCGGGGGCGGCGCGCTAGCGGAAACAATTTTATATTGACTTTGAGGCATTTCTAATGCTTAGAAATGCGGTCTGACTGTTGAAATTGTCATCATTGAAGATTTTTGACTGTGATTTACATCAATAGATTATCTTCATTGCCTGATAGCTATTCCGTTGCTCTTCTTCACGATGAATAATCTACTGCGAAGTAAATCGGGTTGTTGGACATGCCGTTTGCGCAAGAAGAAATGCGATGAGCGGAAACCATCACCATGTTCCACATGCGAATCCTTAGCGATAACGTGCTACGGATACGGGACTAAGCCAGATTGGATGGATAATGGACCAAGAGAGAAAGAAATGGCGAATAGTATCAAACAAATTGTCAAACACACATCACGCCGAAAGGGTCGACTAACTGGTTCAAACGGGGCTCCGAATAACGGGGTTAATACAGAGGCTTCCACTATTAATATTGCACCAAAGACCGCAACTGCACCCGCTAGAACCATTTCTACAGCAATTGAAGACACAGCTTATCAAAAAACTTCATCAGGATCTTCCCCTACGCAGTCCAGTCCAAGTATATCAGCGGAAACTTCCACGGTAAGATGATTACAATTGAGCATTGATGAATGACTAACAAAGCCCAGGGCACGACGCCAGAAAGTGGAAACAGATTTTTCGGTACACCAGCAATTACAAGTAATGAAGCAGCATTACTAATGCATTTCGTGGATAATGTGTTTCCGCTGCAATATCCCATGTATAAGCCTGAAGTGTCTGAAGGAGGACGAGGGTGGTTGCTCTCCCTTCTGCTGAAAACTAAACCATTATATCATGCATCTATTGGTCTCAGCGCTTATCATCGCGGTGTTGTACTTCGTGAACTGACTTCCGGTGGATGTACAAAGCCTAGCATCGCCGAGCAAGAGAGCCACCTTGCTATTTGTTTGACTGAATTTCAAGAGGCAATTAGATCCGCCCAGGATTGTGCTAAAGACTGCGTCTATGGTAGGGACATTTGCGTGGGGAGCAGTCTTGCAATTATGGCTTGTGTTGTTCAACTTGTCTTTTTCGAGGTAAGTCGCGTCTTTTATATAATGTATGCCTTTTTAAAAGTCTTACTAAGTTTTCGTATAGCTTTTTGGTGTACAAAAAAGCTCATGGCAAATTCATCTCCGCGCGGCTACCGATCTGTTTGGTCAGGGGTACCGAGCGCATGCCGCCGAGCTTGGCTTATGGGCCAATGATGAATCGACAGCCATCGTTCTACCAACAGCTTGTGAACTGCTGAACAATGAGCCCTCTATAATTTTCTTATTTCTATCCGGGGCTGTTATGTGGTTGGACGTAGTGTCTTGTATAACCACTGGAAAGTCACCACAACTTCTTGATCTCCATCATACGGCTTTTGGTCGTCAGATCAAGCTAGAAAAAATCATGGGCTGCAAGAACTGGGTTATGACTGAAATAGGCCGTATTTCTACCCTACATGAGTTTAAACGAAATGGGCTCCAGAGCGGTACCTTCGATGCCCATTCGTTCGAGATACAGGCCGATGTTATCAGACAAGCCATCCAACGCGGGTTAAATGAACAATTCTTGACAGAACTTCGTATTACAAATCCGAAAACGACATCACATGGTGAATCACGGATAAGCGATCAAGCTGTCATCACACGGCTCTTTACTCGTGCTGCTTGCATTTATTTGGAGCTTGTCGTTCATGGATTTAAGGTTGTTGAAGAAAAGCCGGACTTGTACAGTATTATCGCCGAACCTTTGATGATGCTTCCAACCATACTACATGAGGATTTAATTCGTGCTATCGTGTGTCCCTTGTACATATTGGGATGTGTGGCTAAAGTGAAAGAACGAGATACTTTCAGAAAGATATTTTCTGCGCCATCAATGAATGATCCATTTATGCATCATCGAAGTACCATTTTACCTTTCCTGGAAAACGTCTGGATTCTCAGGGATACCCATTCGAATAACGTGAGCTGGGAATGCGTGTTGCAGCTTTCGGATGATAAGACACTACTACTTTGAGTCAGAGTCTTGCATCTCCTTGCACCTCAGTGTTGAAATTTTCCCTATGGCTACAATTTCTATCTCATCACTTCAAGAGCATAATGAGGAAAATTCTTTTATTTTCTAACTAAATTTGGCGATAAAGCTCAATAGAGCCAAGGCATGTATGAAGTACTAGCTTGTAGGCTAATCCTGTGTCATACGAGGCTAAAATTATGATACTCCTAAGCTATAAGTTGAAAGGATAATCATCTTATTAGGAACGATAATCTGTGATATGTATGAAATTTCTTTCTATAAGAATAGGGCAGAAGGAATAACGAGAAGGAGAACAATGCTGAAGAAGATGAAATAAGGTTGAAGAGAAGAGTTCTAGGAAGAACGAAGAGACTAGGGCTTATGTACCCTTTTTAGGGGTATAAAGCTTTCTAGATATTTATTGCCTCTTTGACGCTTTCCCTCAAAACACCTTTATATGCGATTCAATCTCACATGGTCCCTTCAAAGTCAAGATCAATTGTTAAACTGCTAGATAGGCATCAAAGGAGACATAAACAGAACGATTGTTTTAGAGTCACAGCCTCTCTCAATACCCTGTCGACACACTCCGGAATTATACGTAACGAAATATATCCATAGCTCCACACAGAATCTCTACTCGGATTATACTCAGTACAAATATGTGCATTTTGTTGAGAATTATCGCAGCCAAGGCATTACGATTTCGTCATTCTCCTCGGTGTCCTTTCCCAAAATAGTACGGTAGTCATCAAAGTTGCAGCACTAAAAGCAGCAAGAAGAAGCATTTGAGTGTTATACGCATCAGAGTAAGCTTTTCTTGTAATGGCCAAAAGCCTGGGAGGGAATTTCGTGAGGACTTCGGTCGACTGGAGAAGCTCGTTAAGTTGAATTGGAGAGAGAATCGATGAAAGAGCCGAAGTGATGTGATTATTGAGCACATTGGTACAGATTGCGATTCCTATAGATCCGCCAAGGGCTCGAAACTGTCCCGAGCCACTCATTCCTACCGCTGCCAACCGAATAACACGTTGGTCTTCGAAATCTTTTCTTTTGAGGGTAGCTAGGCAACCAAAACTCATCAGAAAGTGAATTTCAATCAGCACTCACCCATATCTTGCTTGGTTGCGATGAACGGTATCATCATAATAGAAACCCCCAGGCTCCCCCCGAGCCCAAGTCCCGCCACTACCTGGTATCCGTAGATCGCGCGTGAAATATCTTTATTTGATGAAGAGAAGCCAAGAAGGACTAGACCGGCGATTTGTAGCGGTGCAAACCCCATCAAGACCCATATAAAGGGGATGCATAATTTTTGGACAAGGAATCCGCCTATAAATGAACCAAATGGTATGCTAATGGTCAGAGCCAACAATCGATAGCCTGCTTCGAGAGGAGAGTTTCCATTCACAACATGAAATCTTTGCGGAAGGTTAATTATCACAGTTGTCATGGCTGCTCCTGTAAAAAACGAATTTCTGTTACCATGAGAACGAATTAGCTGCTGCATACCCCTCAAATGAGGTCCCAACTATTGACTAAAATGAGTATTCGAGTGGTACTGTAATTACAGAAATACTCCTGCCGCAAATCAGCTTTTGGCCAGCCGCCAAGGAAACACTGGTTCTTGCTTTGTTTCATGGTTGCTTTGATACCATTCCCAAGTCCAGAAAAGTACCCAAAGAACGAAAGATATAATGAGCAGGCTCAGTGTAATGACGCTGTACCAAGAATATCGTGTACCTCCCTTCTCTAAAGCGGTGACAAACAAGATAGAAGCCCCTAGGAGAAGTAACAAGCCAATAACATCTATGCTTTTGAAGTTCTCAACAGTGAGAGCCCTCCATTTTTTCGAGGACTCTCTTTTCTGTGATTAGGAAAATTTGAAGGCATTGCGAGGAGCACAAGCACAAGTGCGACTCCTCCAGCTGGCCCGCTTGCGTCACTTGTCAGCTAAGAGTATCCTCAAGTCATAGATTCCTTACTTTAATAAAAATATCCATCGCCATGCGAAAGTATTATCATGGTTTCGGTTCACAGTACCCCCTATCAGCGGCCCCGATAGCCCTGCCAGCGCTATTGTTGATGCCAAGATTGCTGTATACAGTGCGTGTTTGCTTATTGGAACCATTTCAGGTAGAACAATGAAGGCCATTGCGTACATTCCCCCACCACCGATCCCCTGAAACGCACGAACAACTATGCTACATCAAAGTCAGTAGATAAAACGCAACTTGAGGCTATTGTCCGGGTCATATCTACTTACAGTGTTGTCATATCATTACTGAAACCGCAGCCAATCGAAAAAGCAATAAAGCTGCCTAGCACAAGAACTATGAAGTTCTTACGTCCAAATATATCACTCAGCTTCGCAATAATTATAAGAAACCCTGAAGTCATTAGCGTATGACGTCAAGTGATTTCGCGTCACCTGCCGGTATACGTCAAAAGATATACTGTCACCACCCAGCTGCTTATACTAAATGCACGTAAAGAATCCGTGATGGATACTAAGGAGGTGCTGACAATTTTAGCTTCTAGTTGTGATAAAAATAAGCTCAAACACATTCTGTTCAGGTTAGTTCATCTTTTAAAATGTTTCCAAGTCAAGGGGATCCCACGCTAGGTTCACAAACTGAAATCTCCATCCCTCCAGAGTCGAGTCAATCAGCGCTTGTTCTTCCAATAGGTTCCTCACTTCAATCTTATCTGAAATTCTTCCAGCGTCGACCGGCGATTTCTCATCGGATTTCTTCGGCGGAGTTTCATCTTGAAATTCTGCAATTCCAACTGCTGTTTCAATGCTTGGGTTTTCATGATCAGTGATTTCATCAGAATTATGAGCATCTGAATCTGCATCTTGACGTGGTATCGCTTCTGTTCTCATTTTCAACACAATATTTGTACTGTGGTACTGATAAGACAGAAAATTTGTCAAGAACCAAGTGACTACTTTCAAAGTATTGTTCGGGGTATTAATACTTCGAAATGGAACACCCTTGTTGGTGTTGCAACCAATAAAAGTAGGCAGATATTATGCAGTCTTTTTAAGACATATTACGGGCTTCACGGATTGATATTCTACCTAACTAGGTGTGGCCGATGCGGCAAATGCTTACTTGACTGCAATTTAGTCCCTACATACTGCGTCAATATAATTTGCGGCACCCCATGTCCACTCATTTCGAGAATTAGCTTTTGTTTGGTAAATGATCAGATGCCTTTTCACGTACCTACATATCTGACTGGATGGGCAAATTTCAAGCTCTGCTACTGTTTTGAGAGTGGAGGCTATTGCTTGACGAAAGCAAATAGTTTCGTATCTTCATGTCAAGCATTTTCTCATAAGACTTAAACTTCGAACAAGAGGTGCAAGCTATCGCTACTTCAAATTTCTAGCATCTCACTACCTACGGGACAATCAAAATCGCCCATACCATGTCCAAGCTAGATAGCCCACCCCCAACGCGATAAAATATGGCCCACATATATTGATGGTTTTCAGGACAAGAACAAGTTTGAAAACATTGGCTGTGAAGTTCCCTTTATTTATGTATGGAAAAGGTTCCTTTGGGACTTCTTTCCCGAGAAATCTGCATAAAACCTCCCAGCCATCGCTAGGATGAAATTCTAGAAGGTTTTCTGGAGGAACTACGGAACGAATATGCTCGACATGTTTCGACATATGAGCGGCAAGCGCTTCGCGATCTGTCCATGGTTTAGGAGAAGTGTAGTCGGTAATTGCAAGACGCATGGTTTCATGTACAGCGCCCATTCCTTCCTGTACAATAGCAGATTTGGACCGTTAGTTTGTGCAACAAGTTGAGGTTATATCAAGATCTAGAGGACGAATGAGAAGACTTGCTTAACCTACAGGATCGATAAATCGTAAAAAGGGCCAAACTAGCCATTCCAAAACTCTATAAATTGAGCTATCGAATGACTTTACCCATGCGACTGGTTCGCGGCTAGTAAGAACTACCTTAGCATTTGGAAAGGCCGCCAGCATTTCATCAGAGAAATTGACGCATGGCATGTCACTAAGGGCCTGATTTAAATTCAGCAATCAAACATGGAGCTATATGCTCAGAACATACACACACTATACCCTTGCAGAAGTTTATCAAAGTCCGCTGGATAGTATGGCTCGCCGATGCCAAGCACCTTGTATCTCAGCGCCTCTAACCAACAAATAACGTGACGGAGCTTCATGTTCTCCTTGTTCCGGTGTGCTAACTCCAAGAAGTGATAACATCTATAGCCCAGCTTATTCAAAGCGGTGTACATTGCTGAAAAAGATTAGTCGCTGAGGAGCGTCGAAGGTGAGGTTATACATACTCATCGTGGAGGTACGTGAAAGACCTAGACATAACACTTGCATCTCAACAGGTCGTGGATGAATTCCTGGAATGTTGTCAATCTCACGTTTGGCCATAGTTTTTTGCGATCTTGCTCAATGTTTCAGGCCAGAAGGTAGGTGAAGAAACTTTGGGAAAGTAAAAGCTAAAGGACATGAGAATGACGGAAATGATAGAAGAAGGGCGAGAGCTTGAATACCCGAAAACAATCGATTGTGCCATATGCTGCGCCGTATTCTGCGCCGCTGTGTTGCTTTATCATGTCGCTTTTATTGAGAGTGAGTGTGTAGAAACGCAGGCAGCCGAGTTCATGGAATGGCATCACTACCTTCCAGAAGCGTGTGGTTTGACGGCAGGAAGTAACTCATTCTTCAATGGATTCAACGCGGGGTAGTGCGGGCCGAAATCAATGAGATGCAGGGTGTTCTTTTCTGCAAAAGTCGCTAGATTTAGTGATCTATCATGTAATGTGGCAAGCGAAACCCAACAGCATGGCTATTGGTCCACGGATATGGATGTAGGCCGTGTATCACCTATTGTTTCTGGGTGGCTGGAATGTCTGCTCTTTCTCTTTTGAATTTTCTTTTCTTCTTTTTTTTTTTTTCGAATTTCTCCATTAGCCCTCATCCTGAAGGGGGAGGAAGAGAGTTTCCTTCAAACTACGGAGTAAACACCAGAACCGGAATTCCCCTTAGTTTTTTTTGATTGGATGTTAAGGATTCATTTTCCTGTTCTCTTTCGTCAAGGGGTGCCGGTACTACCCCACGTTGTTGTAAATCTATGAAATTACTGTCGAATCCGGAAATTCAGACAGGGGCCCCGGACTGAAACCTATCCCATGTCTTGAGCTCTTGGTGGTTATAAACAATCAAGGAGTTGACATTGTGGGCACACTGTTTTCCTCTCAACAAATATATTGTACTGCAGCTCGGTCATATGTCACTCCCATCACTGGCAACCACTTAAATGTCCTTCAATGCACATTTTGGGATATGGTCAATCTCAGAAAGTACATCCAAGATGCAATACTGTATATAACGTGTTCTTGAAATCTTTGCATCGGATGAATGGCAGGTTGATTACAGTTCTTTAAGTTTGAAGTTTATTCTAGGGTTATGGATTCCGTCCTCGTTAGCAAGCAGTAGTCCACTGTCAACGACTTTGTCGATTGCGAGTAATGTTGATAATACTTCAACAACAACTTGCATCAGATGATTTACAAGCACCCGGTAGTTATGTGAGCTTGACATGTTGAATCCAGTTTGAAGATGTATATTTGCGGCGTGGAAATTTGTCGTTAAAAGTTCGGTGCTTCGATACGCATCAACATTTCTTCGAGCAACTTTATCGGGTAGCCTGCGCCATCAATATTCGGATGAAGATTGATGTTCACTGCGGGACGAAGTTTCTCCTCTTCAGGGTGCGACACTATCTGACCTGTCTTATTTCTTTTGTAGGCTGCATTAAAATTGATTGTCAGTCTGCCAGGATCCACAACGTTTCTTGGGATGTTTTTGCGGAAAAGGTGCACCGGAAATTTAATATTTTTGTTTGTGTCTGGCACAGAAATCCCTTCCCGAATCTTGCTCTCCCCATTCTCATAGAGATGTCGATGTAGATTCTGGTGTAAGGAGCCTCATTGGAATCCTACAACCCCTTTTGTACTCGTTACAAATTCTTTTTAAAAGACTTTTCTCCTCAAAATTCTCCTCAGTCTCAATCCAATCTATCTTATCACAATTATCGTTAGGAAGACAACTGCCATCACTATGGCTATCTACAACGCACATCATTCACAATTTACTGTCATCAGTACTGTTTGTCTACCAATCGCTATCATAGCTGTGTTGTTACACTTTATCGCCAGATCTAGCACCAAGCGTAGCTATGCATTGAAATCGGAGGATTGGTTTGCTGTGGTATCACTCTTAGTTTTCATAGGATTTATCTGTTGTGGTTGGTGGAGTGAGTTGATGCATTTTCATATTTAAGAATGACAACTGATCCTGGATGCAGCTAGCCAACACGGTTCTGGATACCAACCCACTGAGATTCCCTACCCTGTTTTGGTAAATTATCTCAGAGTGAGTACTTCGGACTTGATTGAGACAACTTCAATTCTAGTTTGTGGTCAACGCTAATGACTTTAGGCCGTATATATTTCAGAATCTTTCGTTCCAGTATCACTTGCAGCCGCAAAGTGGAGCATCCTCTTTCTCTACATTCTCGTGTTTTCCGTCAATCGTACATTTTTCAACGGAATTGAGATTGTCGGTGCTCTGAATTTGGTCTGGCTCATAGCAACAGTCCTGGCTATCATATTGCAGTGCCTACCTATTCGGAAGGCATGGGACCCTGTGGTTCCAGGGAAGTGCTATAACTTCAGTACTTTCACAGTCGCCGTTGAGGTTCCAAATGTTCTACTGGATTTCGTGATGATGGCACTTCCATTGAATGTGCTCAGGCACCTCCGAATGAACTTGCGAGACAAAATAGCCCTTGGGGTTGTTTTTGTTTTGGGGAGTTTGTGAGTTCTTCTCTTTCTAGCTAATAACTTAAGGAACGCAAAATAACGTCTCGTCGGCCTTGGCGTGATAGGCTTTATTCGAATTGCAATAACTTATAACTCCACACACTGTGAATAATGTAGTCTCTGGGACTCATTGACAACAACGCTAAAATGAAGACAGGGGAGACAACGGCAATAGAAGAATGGGTGACTATCCAGATGCTGGTGGGAATATTGTGCTGCTGCTTCCCCACTTATCGACCTCTCTGTCGTTTCCTCGATTTCCAAATACTTAAACGCTCATATACCTCACTATTCTCTCTATTCGGCAAGTCAATGATAAGCAAGAGAGTTTATCGACGAATGAAACACCAACACAAAATGGCGTTCTCCAGTATGGCGAATACAATACTAGTATAGGCAGTGCCGGCCACGATGGAGCTAGACTGGCACAAGATTCTGGGGCTGGGAAGACCAATTCTAGCATGGTTGACAAGATACGAGTGGAAGTTCGAAAAGAGCACGAGTTGAAAACATTCAATGCTGAAAGCATGACTGAGATGGTTTGATATTAGGATAAATATTTGTTACAGCTTTGTATTGGATAGAATGACAATTCTAAGAGGGAGCATGGTTTGTAAGAGAACCTATTTTTTCATATCATTGGAATACTTCGAAGTTAGCCTGATTTCTAGGCTTGTGAATGCATGCGTTCAAAGATCAAACTTCATGGCTTATTGGCATTCTTGCTAAATGAATCGTTGGTGAATGGAACAGAAACAACATCCTCGACAGTAAGCAACCAAATTTGAACGGTAATACCAGCCATTCAATCAATTATCGCAAGCTTATCATAGCATCTGAGACGATCGAGGAGGTAAGTGATGTTATCGTTGGCGGCTTGCAGGCCAAATTGTCGAACACTCTAGCCGTGGAAAATGTGGACATCGATACAGGAAAGCCAATGCACGTATATGACTTAGATTCTTTATCAGCCGTCGAAATTAGGACCTGATTCCGTGATAACACTAGCACAGATGTGACAATGTTTGAGATTCTAGTCAATAAGTCCATCAATGAGTTGGCTATATCCGTCGCCCCTAAAAATTTTATCTGGTTGGAGAAGTACAATGAAACTAAGTGAGGGTCGAGGACAGAGAGAGACTTTCATTGTACAAGGCATTATCGTAACAGGCATTCGGCATCAGCCTGTTTGGATGCCCCTCGCAATGGCCTTTTTTTAAAAGCTGGTCGTCATCGAGATTGGAAGGACTCGAAGCTAAAAGTCGAGGATTATATTGTTTACGGAAACTTACTGATTCTTCAAGAAATGACTCGAATTTCTCTATTTTGCAGCCAGTGATTCATTCTCTGCCAGAGTTTAAAATTAAACCTCGGCTTAGACTACCATCCTCTTTTTCACTGGATAGACTGGAGCCAAAGTCCCAGCTATTGTGTTGTAGTGATCATTTGATCGGGCAAAATAATTGTGAGCTTAGAATAGTACGCCACGTGAAACGGAAGCGCGATTTTCCCATCCAGTCCTTCGACTCGTGCACTTCAAGTGACAACTACAAGCAATAAAGCAACGAAATTGAGTAATAACAGAAGAAACAACTGCCGTTCTGGCAACGACAATCCAAAACCAGGACTGAATAATTATGCATCTTATAATAATCCAAAGGGTGGATGTCGAATCTCTCATCGAGGAGTGGAAGTTGGAATGACAACGGCCAGAATCCTCACCTCACCGGATCACTGGTGATCACCCCAATTATTAAAACTCCCCGCTGATGAATAGAAATGCACATGGTTACTTTTATGAAAGTCCAGCTCATAATATCCTAGGAGATTTCTATCAGTCCGGACAGAATCCCAAACCTTTTCAAGGGTACTGAAATAACTGTAGGACAAACAGTAGACCACGACACAACGGATTACCTCCAGGCAGGCAGGGGGGCGAGTTTTATGTTGCAGCAGCTACAATATAGTCAGCAAGATACTCAATTACATGATCATCAAGGATCTTTGCATCGGCATTTATAATGTAGACAGTAAGATGCTGAATCCAGCGAACATTTTGCAATAATTTCCAAATTATATTCGTAGAGCCAACCATGCTAGAGATTCACAACGTAGCAATGGACCCATCAAGAGATCAGCACCTCGCTTGTCACTCAACCCTCAGAATGCGATTAATTTCAACATGAACAGGTCCAATTCAAACCTAAATAGACGGGGCAAGGTGCCATCTAGATCCTTTGATTCGGATGCTAGTTCAAGGACGACCCTAGAGAGAAGAAAGAACTGCCGGCACTAACAGTTTTGGCAGTCTCAGAGTGACACTGAACAAGATAGAGAAGTCGAACTGTCGATCTGCCTCGAAATTCAAGGAAGAAGCATATCAGCCCTTGAAGATATGAGAGCGACAGTTAGTGTCTGTCGAAAATTCACCGCTGCTGCTAGCTTCTACATTGAACAGAGAAACAGTTCCAGAAGAATTCGACCAAGATAATGAGGAAATTGAACGGGAAGCGGAGCTAGGGCCCGCCAAACGTCGCAAGAAAAGTTTTTTTGTTCGAGATGATTTCATTAGCTACAACAAATGCGTCAAGGACAACGAAGAAAACAATGACGAGCACCATAATGACAGCGATGATCTCTTTTCTGACAATTAAGATCCTGACGCACATTACGTTCGTGTTAGAGATTGGACCAATATTATCAAGACATGAGACGCTTATAGAACTGTTTCAGTAATTCTCGTAAAATTACTATGTTATTGTTGATGCTACATCACTTCGGTAATAAACCGCCCACGGAAAATCTCAATCAAGCTAACCAATCCATCGCGCACCATCGTCTCCTCCTTTCCTACTCCAGCAGTATCCCTACATTGAGCATTTGTGACCGTTTTCTCCAACTCTACACAGATCCTTTCCGCTTTTGCCTTCTCCGTCTTGAGAATGGCGTTCAAAATACTTGGATTATGTCCAATGTCAGTGAATTCCATGTCTCCAATCTTTATGCTCAATGTCATTATCTTGTCAGCCCTGTTTAAACCCTCCATGGATAGGCCGGCAGGATTGGCAAGTAACTCGTAAGCATTGTATACTTGCTGTAGAATCGCCACGCAAAGCATCAACAGTGTTGAAGTGGAACTGAGCTCGCAAGAAGAGCATTGAGCTAGGGTCAGAGTTTCACAAATGAATAGACCATTCCTTGCTGCAGCGAATATGCTATCTAATGATGGATTGAGGTTACCGCAGACGACAGAATGCAAATTCGAGAGACTCAAAATTGCAGATTGAAGGCAGTTACAACCACCTGAAATTTTGTCTGCCAAAATAGGGTCAAGGTTGTTTTCTTTGGGAGGTACTTGAGTTCCGTGCGGTTGCTCGTGACTTTCATCCCCGCCAATATTGAAGTTAATATCATGCGGAGGATTTTCATTATCAAAAAATATGTCTAGTGGTGGCAGACTGAGAAGACTATCGCTGTAGTAGTGAGAAGACTCGTGAAAAGAAATATCACACTCATCTATGACATGAGTCGGTTCATGTAGAGCCGGAATTGGCTGACAAGAGGTAGGAATCTCAGACGCAGAGACTGATCTATTGTGCTTTAGATATCTTGACTGTGGTGGCAGAGTAACTAAATCTTTATGGCCTGGAAAAGTCAGCCTGAAGTAAACACATGAAGCTAGATGTACAAACAGAAATTTTCAATATCGTTGCAATTCGAGTCTGTTGTAGTTGAACTTGAGCCAACACCTGAGAATTGTAAGTCTAAAACTCCTTGAACTGGAAAGTTTACTTGCCATCCTTGATTTGAACTGGCTTACTCTGTGGCGAGAAAGATATTTTCTTTTTGGGTGACTCTGATGATGGTGGAGCTGATCGTTTTCGAGATCGTTCTAGGTCAATGGCAGCACTGTAGGTGCATGAGTTACCACTCAAACTACATCGTTGACAGCAATCTGGCTCTCTTGTACATTTGACTTTGAATCTATAGCATTGATCACATGCGGAAGTCTTCGTGGCCTTTTTGGGTGCTATTTGCTGAGATTGATCTCGCTTTGCAGAAGAATTTTCGACATCATCCACACTGAAAGGATTGTTGATCGTTTCTTTGTTTTCGTGGGAGTACTGCCACCAGTCTGAAGATTCTACTTCTATTTGTGTTAACTTTGTTTCTGTTTCAAGAGAAGTGGACTTACCATCTGATGCCATCGAAGTTGATAAGATAGACAAATTTTGTACTCTTTCAGGGCCTAGTCCGTTTTATGTGAGCGCATTCAGTGTTGAGAGTGAGTTGAGACTAACCTTCCAATGAGATTTTTGAATTATCATCATGATTCGAAGTTTCTAGTTGATCAGAGCCTCCTTTTGTCTCATTTTGGAACTGCCGACGGCTCTTAAAGTTTCTCTTGGGTCTGCCCATAAATTTTCCAAAGCTAAATGAATTTGTAAGTTATGAAGAGCAACCAAAGAAGAACAGATCAAAGCAGCAGTATCTACCTATATGTGCAAGAGCTGTCTAGTTCAGCGCATCTTTGACATTGAAGTGGATGTTTGGAGCAACTCTGCTTCGTTCGAAAACATTGATCACAAGAATTAGAACTACTTCCGGTTGGGAATTTGCACTGTTCAGGCATACTGTAGAAAATGATTGATATGATAAGAATTGGGATTTGAACTTGAATGAGGCAGTAGTCATGAAGTATAGCTAGTGGCGCCATCTGACTTGTTATAATAAACTCGGAGAAATATTTCACCAGTGTTCAAGTGTTACCCTATGACCATAAAGCTCATCCTTTACACCGCTTTCATGCTCCCTGTATAACACCTTAATCTCACTAAAAGTGTTTAAAATCTTACCGAAGGTCTAATTCTCGAAGGATGGAAGATGGGATTGCCGATGTTGATACAAGAATTGCATAAGTTTATCATTGAATATGAATAACTGGCCACCAGAGGTAGTACTGCAAGCAATACCATATATGCATCTACCATACGAGTCGCCATGATTAACTTTAAAGGGCAGCTGAAGAAAAGCAGTCAGAACTTAGTTTAAATATGAATAATCTGCACATTAGAATCCTGCCGGTGTCCCTCGCCGATGTCCCCAAGGCAGTCATTGGGTTAGTATACGGCATGTTCTGCATACGCCCCACTGTGATAATACGTACGCATTCTACATCACATATTGCAATGAATATTATCGATATCTGTGTCACTGGAATTATTCAACTTCAGACCGAATATTGAACATCGCTAAAAACATATAGCAATACTGAAACTCAATCTGTTGCTAGTTATTATATAATATAGCTTATACATACATATTGCAGTCGATAATCTACCCATTTATTTGCACTAATGTACTGTAATACATAACACTAACTTACACTACTCCAATCATTGCCCCGGTATGGTGCGGTATTGCTTATCATACCAAAAGCCCAATTCGCCAATGCTCTGCAGTTCACTCCAGTCTCCACTTATGGTGGGGTATATGGCGAGGCTTGCAGAGGAAGTAACTTCCAAAATAAACAATCGGACGCCGAAACTGTTATCTATACCTGGGTAATACTATCGGGCCAAAGGATTTTCCTGGGTGATTGGTCTCCTCATTCTCCTCATTCACCCTATCCCTTGTTTTTAAATACCCACGTAGGTATTGCACAATCACGATTAGATACCCGTGACAATTAACGTCATTTTCTCGAGTCTATGAGAACTAGGCGGGGGGAGTGGGGGAGGGTGGTCATCAAAAGTGTACGTTACTCAGTGCATTGCATTTATCATGGCTGATCACATATCTCTTGTACAACGGCATTCAGTTGTCTCGGTAACGAAATCGATGGATCCTCGAGCTTGGCCTTCGAAACACCGGTACATCACGAATTTCGGAACTACCGACCGAGGAGAGCTAAGGAAGTTTAAAGTTAATAAACTTAGTATATCCTGGCATGTTGTATCACGTGGAAGGTTGTCAAAACGTCAGTCAAAGTATTGAAGTAGATACGTTTTTCCAACATCAATCAACTTGACGTATTCTTTTGGTGAATTGGGTTGCCCTAAGTAAGGGTTGAAGGAATAAAACTCACATGGGTTAGGGTTGTAGAAAGGTCTAGAGCTTTAGCTTTCACTCGATACTTTGCAGCAAACCCTCTTTATAGCGACATTTTTAAGCGATATTTTTGAGTATAATGTCAGGTACCTTTATATGAAGATACCCGACTAAATCTAACTCAGTAATATTTCGGTCCCGATCAGTTCCGATCGGGTTGCATTTCTGCAATTTTCTATGCTTCACTTAAAATCGACTAAAACTTCAATTGGTTATATGCTGACTCAAATCCTGCTGATTCTACTGATCCAATAAGAATACACGTGAGCTCAGAACCTTAGAACCCCAGGTATATCCTCGTAAGGAGATTTCAAAGATGACGGTCAGCTCAGGTAATGTTTCAGCTATAAAAGAGGGACCGAAAGGGGTATCATTATGAAGAAGATATTCTTATATAGAATATCCTTGTAGAGAGACTTTGCTGTGACCTTATTCATCAGAAGCTGGTACCCGTACTTAGGTATTCTCCGATAGAGATTTCTATTTTATTTAAGCCTTTTGCTCCATATGAAAGCAATCTAATTGAAGCTTAAATACGTTGTTCATACTTGGGGTAACCCTGTTCACCCAAGTATACGGCACTACTAGACAAGTTGTGGATTTAGTAACATACATTTCCGTGAATTTACCGAAAACAAATGATCTTAGCAAGGGTGGACGGGAGACTTGTAAGCAGAATTGGGCCAATGACGAGATGCCAGGTTTAAACTCTGCTTGAAATCATCTAGATTCTAAATGCAAGACCTTTGAGTGAATTTGACACAAAGCTTTTCGAGGATTCTCAGACCTAGTGTGTTCTTTGAATTTTCGGATCGATAGAGCTTTCTCACGGATATATTCAATTGTAGACTCTACTTGATGGACAATTAGTAATTTTTCGATCTTCTGGCACTGAATCAACTGAATCACGTTTATCTCCGGTGGACACCCGGTGGACAAAAGAATGTGCAAACAACGAGATTCATTTCTATGAGCTACGACACAATGAGGAGACAAAACTCTGATAAAGGAGTGGCTAAGTTCAACACCAGCACATCATTCCCACACGATCACACCGGTGATCAATTTCCCCACATCATGTCATTTATTTGAAGCCCTTGTTAACAGTCACTAAAAGGCTCTAGCTTCGAATCCGCTAGGAGATAGCACTGAGTACTGTCCAGGGTCAGCAAAGAAGTCGAAGACGGCTCGGAATCTTACCTACAATTGGCATAGGTTATTTAAGCAGTCCTAATCCACCTTGAGCTTTGTGGGCTCTGCCTCAGCGTTGCGGTCAACCTTGAGCTTTGTGGGCTCTGCCTCAGCATTGCGATCGACCTTGAGCTTTGTGGGCTCTGCCTCAGCATTGCGATCGACCTTGAGTTTGGTGGGTTCTGCCTCAGCATTACGATCGACCTTGAGTTTGGTGGGTTCTGCCTCAGCATTGCGATCGACCTTGAGCTTTGTGGGCTCTGCCTCAGCATTGCGATCGACCTTGAGTTTGGTGGGTTCTGCCTCAGCATTACGATCGACCTTGAGTTTGGTGGGCTCTGCCTCAGCATTGCGATCGACCTTGAGTTTGGTGGGCTCTGCCTCAGCATTGCGATCGACCTTGAGTTTGGTACGACGGTCAACCTTAAGTTTTGTTGGTTCGGCTTCAGCGTTTCTGTCGACCTTGAGTTTTGTAGGTTCTGGCTCAGCGTTTCTGTCTACCTTAAGCTTGGTACGACGGTCAACCTTAAGCTTTGTTGGCTCAGCTTCGGCATTTCTGTCGACCTTGAGCTTGGTGGGCTCTGGCTCGGCGTTGCGGTCAACCTTAAGCTTGGTTGGCTCTCGAGCTTGCAAAACATCTCTTGCTTCGACTAGTAGGTATCAGTTAGCTTACTATCTACACAAACGGAGTAAGTAATAACTTACCTGAAACTGGAGCAGCGGCAACGCTGGTGACAAATGCCACGATGGCGAGGATCTGGGAAACCTTCATACTGAATAGATGGTTATAGGATATTGAAGATAGTTGAGCTTGAAGTAATAGCTTGAAGTAATAGCTTGTTGATGAGTATGGATGTTTTTTTTCAAACAGACAATTTGAATGTATATATACTTCACAGATCGTTTCCAATTAGCGTGCCTAACTCAAAGATTTGCTTCTAAGACCGATTTCTGAACACCAGATTTGGTTCTGGCTTACTGTAGACGGCGACGGAGAGTGGATCTACGCAAACACTTTCGGGGGTGTTGTTTCAAGCCAGTCTGTCTCCGATGTGTGGTTTGGGGCCGCCCCCGTGATTCACTCTTCCCATGTGGAAAGCGGCAATTGTTTCAACCATTTCACCTAGTTTGTTCAGTGGGAATTTCGGGCCCGATTTCTGTCTGAGTATGATCAATCTCGGACTGACACAAATCTTGCTGTAAGGGATTTCCCTAAAGTGGTCTTCTCAAGTGCTGGAATACATTGTTCCGTTGCTCGATCGAATCTTGGTCCGGAAATCGCGCTCAATGGTTCTAGCTAAGATCATATTGTCATCTCTGGGTGACCGAGATTTTATTGTTTACGTCTATTTTCTGAAATATCTACAGTTAAGTATATTTTAGTTCGTGTAGATTCTTAGATTAGTTTAAAGGGTCTAAATTAAAAGCTAGAGATAGCTGGAGGTTTAAAATATTGTAGAATCTATACTAATGGCGCACAGCTAATGTGATTGCAATGTCAAATTCGTGGTTTGAGGTGGTATTTTAGGTAACTGGTTATCGTCTAAATCACACATTCACAGCTTTTTGAATTCATGAACGAATAAGAGAGTTGAAATTAGAAAACTTGGACGAGTATCATTTTATTCAGCGTTAGAATCTATCCGAATAGGTATTTAAAGAGTTTGAACAATCAGATCAGCCTCCAATTGCTTCGCGAGTTTGATAGATCCCAAGTCCACAACCCGCCAAAATAGGTCCCCAAAGAATATAACAACTGGGGTAATGCAGATGAATGAAATTGTGAATCCAAATGCGTGATTGAAGTCAGTGTCATTGCCAGTGAGCTTCCAGATCGCTGGCTGAAGTCGCCACCCCCAAGAGGCAAGGATTGGCCAATGTACCAAGTACAACCCAAATGAAATTTGGCCAAGATATCGAGGAATTGGAGAAGTAAAGATTTTTTGAAGGAGAGGTAAATTCGAGATTGCCCAGACGATGAGGATGGATCCGACTACGAATACATTGGATTCCCAAGAAATGATAGCCGAGATTGTTTGGAAGCCGAAAGTAGTCGATCCATACGATCCATGGATATGAGGAATCGAAGCCAGCCATAAACCAGCAAACAAGACTACAGACCACCCAAAGACAGACCCCAATTTTCTGCTCATGGATTTGGGTACAGCTACAGATCTTGCTTTACGAACGTGATGCTCAGCGATAAGCATTCCGCAAAGAAAGCAAGAAATGTCATATCGCATACACCAAAATGCGTAGTAGATCAAGAATAAAGTGAATCCGAGACGAACAACTGGTCTCAATCTTCCCAAGCCAGTGAGTGTAATGAATAGTAGGAAAGAACACCATAACTCTTTTGGTATGGTGTACAGAGGTGCCGCATATTCAGACTTGGTCACGTTGTGAAGTGATACTGTCCACTCATAAGGGTATAGCAGCTTGCTGAATACATATTCCAGCCAGTCCACAAATTGAAGTAAGAAGGTTTCTTGATAGATTGGGCCTCCAAGGTCCATATCCACCGTTCCAGAGTATTTGGCATCAAACACGTGTGTTCTTGTGAGTAACATTATCACAAACGTAACTGCCATCGGCGGAAGCACTATGCGAAAGGCTCTTCGAAATGTGGCAGAAGATAATGAGCGGTAAAGTCGCTCCCAATCTTTCTCATAGATCAACTCCAATGGTCGAAGCGCCAGAGCGAAGCCAGAAATAACAAAAAATATAGCGACCATTACACTGCCAGAGAATGCAAGCCGGATGATGGGTAGTTGCCAGAAATATGGATGATCTCCATATTCTTCAAACATCAGAGGATGGAACTTCATAGCGACGTGCTCAAGATAGACACAAAATGAAGCAACTCCTCGCATACCATCCAGGTATGCTGTTGGACTCTGGCGTGTAGGAACTTCGACTTTGTAGCCGCAGAATCTTGAAATTGGACTCGGCAAAAGAGTGATAGCAAGGGCTTTCAGCCCATGGTGAATCTTGGACATAGCCGTTGTATCCTCGTCAAAAGGCATGCCTTGAAGAGTTTCCTCACTCATAGCATCTTCACTGCCACGCTCATAGCGTTTTTGGTTGTCGAATTCATCCGATGTCGAATTCCATTGAGACTGCGCTGAGTGTTTCTCTGCCAAAGAGTGTTCAGATCCGGCCGTGGTAATATCAGATTCAGGTATCGCCATTGTCAATAGCAATATGAGAGAATGAAGTTAGGCTAGCTAGGAGACAAAACATTCCTACAGATCTTCAAAAGCACATTGAATAGTATAAGGGCCATTGAGAACAAGGATTAATTATTTGAGACCGAGACCGATTTGTAGAGATTACCCCGAGATTCGGAAAAGCTACATTAAGATACGCAACTTCAGCTTATCCTGTGCTACCGGGGATGGCGCGCAATATTGGCGATGCATCTCTTGCACACACCGAATTTGAAGGCTCCGAATCTTCACACACCGATTCTGTCAGGACAGGTCACGTAAGAATTTAGCTTTGTCGTCGCATATTCGTCGGATATGTGCATTGCAGATATTGTGTACGTTAGACGTCAGTCTTGGAGAAGCTTGTACTGCGACCTAAGCTTATCTTTTAGGACAATCTTCAACGGCTAAACTCCGCATGTAGCACGCGTACACATGCTATCATGGTGTAATCTTCAAGGTTTCCGAGTACAGAATTGGTTCATAACGAGAGGTTCTTGTGATAGTGCAGCTCAGCTCATGGCCACGTTTTCTTGCATATATTTCGTTGTCTAGAGAACCACAAATTCGTGTATGTACAGACTTAGCTCTAGGATTGCCAGAGTCGCTTGGATTAGAGTTGATGGCCCGTGCATACATTCTGTCTATTTTTATTCACGTGCCATCTCGCGTGCGGGGCCGTAGACCTCACCTTGTACAAACGCTCGCTCTAATTTGTAGCTCCGCTTGAGTTGGCTCGCTTTTGTTTTTGAGCTAGAAATCCCTCAATTATGCATTGCGACCGTTACATTCCCTTATCTGAGGAGTTTCATGAAGGATCCTTTACGCGTACTGCGGCGACTGGTTGCTAGTAGACACGTAGAAGACAAGATCAGAATCTCGATCTGAACGTTCAGACACCATCTAGTGTCCACAGTGCGAAGTCAAATTTGTAACAGGCTGGTCAGGGGCTACAGGGTCTATATTACCATTCAGCAAGGGAAGATTTAAGGTTTTGACTCTATCCAATGTCCCGGATCCGGGTCCACTTCATTCCTCGAATCAAATTCGAAAATTCATTCCTTCTGATAAGCCTGACTCATTCCGAACATCAAGTCCCCCCAGAGCACAAGCGTGAGGTCATAGGCAAAGATTTGTAACCGTTCTAGGAACGGAAACGTTAGCAACTGGATTGAAGTACTGAACCTTCAAGCTCGCATGATCACTTTCAGCGAGAGAATGACATGAAATCACTCCACTCTCACGTGACAGTGTTTTTGTACTGTTAATTGGCTTCGAAATTTCTTGTGATAGGATTGAATTATCATACAGATGTACTATCTATTGTATGCACTCTGCTACATTTGAATCCTGACCCAGCTATGCAGCTTGATATCTGCGAGTGATCTTAAAGCCGACGCTTCAGCAATCTGGAAAGTCGATATTGATCCTAGTCATAACTGTATCAAAGGACGCAGTCTGATTCATCAGCTGATCGGTACAACTGCAGGATCAGATAGTCAGTAAGGCCTTTCAATGGAGGTAATCGGAGGAAAAGGAGGAACTGGGAATTTTGTAGTGCAAAGTTGATGAACGGGTTGTACTGACTGCTCTGTGTGATGGTAAGATGTCAATCCAGATTCCAAAACACCCCCCCTCAACAATGTCCGATGCATCATCCTCCATCCATAAGAACAATGAAAGATATGGTATTTTCTCGTGGTCCAAACCATCACCTTGACCTCGGACAACTCTTTATAATCCTTAACAGGTTTCGTTCCCTCCATATCGTAGAAAAATGGCTCTGAAGCCACCTCAAGGAACTCCTCAGATAGTTCATCGTCGTAGCAGTCTCGATGGAGCCAAGACATGGTCATCAAATCAAAGATACAGCCATTCGCCTTTGCAGTTTCAGAATCGAGACCGCAAGGTTGGAGTTTATGCGCTGTAGAGGGATTCACGCGGGACATGCCTACGGGTAGAATACCATCTCCGCCAACAGGGTGAGATTTGAGAAAAGGTGAGCCGTTGATGAGATAGAGAACGAGGATGATTGCCGTGAAGACGAATGTGCCAATTTGAAGACCCAACTCGATTCGAGAGGTCTGGATTCTTTGTCTGCTTGTGCCATTGCCGGTTGAGATGAAAGGAGCATCTTCTTCGCCTTTGTCTGCATCCCGTTCGCCGTACATTCTGCTGAGAAGTGTGTATTTTGGCTTTCCTGGATACGCCATGATTTGAAGCTAAATCTGTGGGTGATCTACAAGTACAAAAGGTTGGAAGGTATAGGTGATTTGACAATTGCGAGTGTAAGGTTATGGTAGCTAGAATAAGATTAAAAGCGAACCAATGGATAATGATAGGCACTTGACGAAGAGCAACCCGTTTGACATTGCCCGAACACTCTCGGACATGAGCTTTGGCACCGAAGAAAGATTACATAACATAATCCCATAAGTTATACACTTCGCTGGAGAGATTAGAGCAGTCGTTCCAATTTATGTAACTGTACATAATATGTTACGTACAATATATGGTTAAGGTTTAGGTTCTGAACCTTTGATGTTGTGTTCTACTTTCTATGGCTCAATCGAAAACCTCTTCCGCATGGTGTGAACACGTGTGAAGGATATTGAATTCATTGCTCAATAATTAACATGTGCCAAACCGTTTCATTTTCTTAACATTATAGACATTTATTTCAAATCCTACGTAGTGTAATACGTGCCTCAGTTTTGACGAAGACGATATTGAGCGATGTTTTATATGGCATCCACATAAAAAGACATATCAGAATGAAATTGAAATTTGGACTTGGTTAACCATTATTTACTATACTACGATATCTCCTTGCGCTACATATTAATTAATATCTCTAATCCTAACACACTTTCCAAAAAGCAATTGAACTCTTGTAGTGACCTTCTCGAACTCTACTCTCTCAGGATCCAAGAATACACTAACGCAGTGATTCGTATGAAACATTCCTATCCCTTCATTTGTAACAAGGTGTCCACTCATTGCCTATAATAACGGTCAGCATTCATTCAGAAGTTCAGAAATTCGAGTAACTCACAGCAATGTGCAAGAGCTTGAAGATATAAGCGCAATGGGCAATGTGATAATGCTCCTGTGTCCACACCATTGGAATATCGGTCTCCGCTGTCACAGATGTAACCCAAGGCAATTCTTTTTCCGTAAGCTCGTATCCTGGTTTCTTATTGGTATTTGAATACCATTTCCACGGCCCATATAACTCTAGAAATTCATCCGAGATGTTCTTGTTATAGCATGCGGGATGTGTCCATGAAAAAGACATGAGATCCCATACACAGCCTTTTTCTAGGGCCTCTGCTGGACTATTTCCACAGTCTACGATGATGGTGTCGCCTGCTTCTACTAAGGGCCATCCTCCTGGTTTCAGGTCAGGTGTGATTGCTGGGATATAGTTGATGGCAGGTTTGCGGTCGAGCAGTGCAGCAAGAGTAAAGAGGAGGGTGGCTGCTAGAATACTTGATATTATGGCAATGACGGTAGAGCAGTTCCACCATTGTCGTGATGAGCTTCCTAGGTACTCTTGCTGTTTGGAAAGTTTTTCTGTGTCGTAGTTGTCGTCACCGGATAGACCCATTCCACCCAAGGAAAGAAAACTTTCATCCTCTCCATTAGGAGTTACAGAATATGTGTGAGAATCATAATCTAGCGCTATGGGAATCGTTTAGCTTTGCCAACATGAAACATTTAAGCGCAAATGTATAACTCACCATTCTTGACCTTGCCGACGACCGCCGTTCCAAGAGCTTTTGGGGCCATTTTAACACTTGATGGTAATCGAATTGAGCAAAATAATTATTCAACTGATAGGTCAAAGAAATAAATAAAAATAAAAATTAATTTCCCTTAGACATTCTTCGAAGAATCTGAAAAGGAAACTCTACATCAACATATCGGACTTAGAAGTCTATTAAAGTGGGGCCGTCGCACTAACAGCCACCCCGAAAGCTTTCGGAGCCTATTTTGACCACCCCTCTCATTTCGTGAGTTCAAGAAACATACGTGTGGTGCTGTCAATACTACTGCGGAAAAACTCCATCTGTTCAAGGTGGAGAATTGAGCAATGAAACAGCATTTTTTCGATACCCAGTTAAACAACATTCACAAAATGCCATACGCCGTGCAATACGTATCTACAAGCGATGCACCAGGTCTAGCAGAGGCGATGATGAGTGCCTGGTGGCAAGATGAGCACTGGAAAGTTCTATGGGCAAAAAGCAACATGTCGCTCGAGCAAATAATCTCTGATTGCAGTGAGCGCTTGCCATGGAATTTCATCAGCGGCCGAAACGTCAAACGGCACCTCAAAGTTGTTGATACAGATTCTGGGGAAGTAGTAGCGTATTCTCGATATATTTTACCCGAGACCCATGCCGAAATATGGCCCGAAGCCCAGATTTCTGAACCTAGTTCTCAGGAATTGGCGGAATATGAAAGAAAGTTTAAGAGTGTCACAGACAATGGAAAGATAAGGGGAATGGATTATGCGTTTGCTTCGGAGTTTGGAAACCCTCTTGCAGAAGTGGAGGAAGAGATTTTGAAGGATAGTGGTTCTTGTTTTGGTATGTTCGATAACAGTCTACAATACAAAGGAAATAGGACTTTCTAACTCCAAAAAGCTGTGGATTACATGACGACTCATCCTGCTCACCAATACCATGGAGTAGCGTCGATGATGTTAAATCAAGCTCTCAAAGTTGTAGATGAAGCGGGTTTGAAATCAATTGTAATGGCAAGTCCGGCTGGACAAAGATTGTACGAGGAACATGGCTTTCAATTTGTGCGCACTCTTGTTCAGGATGATTCTAAATACGGGACTACATCGCCTTACGTTCATTCTTGGCTCATTAGACCATCTCCTAAGTAGATTCACGGAATCATAACGAGGAATCACTACTTATGTATCCTAATAGTGCAGAATTGTACGGGAATTCTTTTACAATTGTAGCTGCTGGTTTTGATAACAAATAGATAAAATTTGGAATAGATGCATGAAAATCAGCATTTTACATCTTGATTCTCAAAGCCAATTCAATCCCACGACTGGATAATTTAGGCATACCCTACATCTTCATTGTTGATCTCACTCAGCCTTACACATGGATTGTACAACATCCTGATCCAGGTGTTCATTAACTCGCCATTTCCCCATTCTCCAGCCTCATATCTGCCTACCAGATTCTCACAGTGATTCCTGTGATAATCCCTCGCGATTTCCTGTGGAACAAGAATATCATCATCCTCCACCGCTCGCGCTATTATTTTCATCGTGTACACGCAGTGTTGATAATGATAATTTATCTGAGTCCACGTCTCGACAGATCGCTTGAGAATCTCAACATCCTGTGGCAATGGAAGTGTAAGATTTTCCCCGATATACCATGGCCATGGTCCGGTGGCAAGCGCTTCTTCGTATAAGTCTTGGTAGAAACATTCTGGGGCCGTGAACCCGTAGTTCATGAGATCAAAAACGCAACCATATTGCTCGGCTTGGCTTGGAAAACTTCCACATCTCTTAGTTCCTCCTAATTCTGGCGAAGGCCCTTCGCCCGCATCAACAAAATCGGGTTGAAGAGAGTTCTGTTGTGACAGAGTCCGGATTCTCACAAATGAGCCTGGTGTATGGACTGTGAAGCTCGAGACAGTGAGGATGAGAATACAAAGTGTGGCGAGAACTCCGGAAACGAGGAGTGACTTTGGTGCTTGAACGAATTCTTGTAGAATCACGCTGAGACTTTGCTTTCGTGCCCGGTAATGCATGGGGGTTTCCATTATCGGCCCTTCTTCATCATCATCATCGTCACCCATAGGAACGGGATCATAGAGCTTAACCTCTCCCATTTCATCATCATGAATTGGTTCTGAAAACAATATCTTAGCAGATTTCAACAACGGAGAAGGATGCAATTTACTCATTCTGACTTAAATTTCGATTGAAGTGGATTCGCAAGAGAACTGCCAAAAAAACAAATAATAGTTCCAAAGGCACCAGAGAAATACGCTTATCTCAAAAAGAAGACGACAACATGGTACCAAAGTAGTGATAAGAGTTGCTTATATTACAGAATCGGAAAACGGTTGTGTTTGTGATTTGGTGGCTTCGGGTGGGGAACTGTCCCGACCATTTTCGGACATTTCTGGGCCCGAATATCAGACAAAAGTCATTGCTACAGTATACAGCCAACCAAACCAAAGAAGAAAAATGTCTTGGTTGCCCTCTCCAATCATTTCAAGACACTCGAGTGTGGGTCTCTTGAGAGCGACTTCTCTTCTATTCTCCGGGTATTTTGTACGTTTCCTGTAACATGCTTGATTCTTCGACATTTGCTCGTTGGAAATCCTTCCTTACTTCACATTACTCCCCGAAAACATCAATAGAATGCCTCATCACTACGAACAAGTTAGATCATCAACTACAGCGATTCGGAGATGGAGAGAAGATGAAGAAGTTCCAAGTCGTGGCAAGCTGTATTTGCTCTGCCTTACAATATGTATAGGAGGGTCAGTAACTATCCCTGAGCACTTTTTATGCCGTCAACTGATCTTCTATAGACTCCAGGTTGTTTGGGCAACAGTAATGGCCCAGGGATCTGTATGGTTCCCTTCAATTTGGTCAAACAGTGCCAGCTGCTAACCTCACCAGAGCTATCTCATTTCCCTTGACTTACGCCCCTCCATAGTATCTCTGGTATGGCTAGCAGGGCCAATCTGTGGCTCTCTGCTCCAACCATACATAGCGTACAAAAGTGACTATTGTACACATAAATGGGGACGAAGAAGACCCTTTATGATATACGGTACAATCGCTACAATAGCCTGTATTAACGCTCTTTCCTGGACAAGCGAAGCCGTTCGATCAATCTGCAATCTCTTAGGAGTGTCAGATCATGGTTTTGGTGCAAAGTTCGTCATTCAGGTACTCGCAGTTGTGGGGGTATGGCTACTGAATGTCGCCATTCAACCTGTTCAGGCGAGTATCAGGGCGTTGATTGTGGATGCATGTCCAGGTTCTCAAGCAGCTAAAGCAAATTCCTTTGCAAGTATTGCAGTCATCATTGGAAGTGCAATCGGATATGGTTGTGCTTTTATTGAAATGCCTAAAGGACCTACTTGGTTGACCAATCCTCAATTCAAGGGTCTCTGCTTCATTGCCTCTATTTCTCTCGGTGTCACTGTCACTATCACATCTGTGATGATCGAAGAGAAGGCGGTAAATATTGACAATGATGGATCCGAGAAATCAGGGCTCCGAAAAATATGGGTAGAGATATATAGAGCGATTAGAACACTGCCCCCGACGATCAAAATGATTATGGCAGTCCAGTTCTGCGCTTGGCTGGCTTGGTTCCCATTCCTTTTCAATATTGTATTGTAAGTTCAGCACCATACTTGCTAGAACCTCATAGCTAACTTGCTGGCTACGTGAAGATTTCTAAGTAGGCTTTGTAAGCTACACATACTCCTCATGTTGTTTTCCATTACTGACCACACCAACGTAGATGAAGTTCAAACACTTTCTGAAAAAATGGGTCCACCCTCGACCAAATTTTATAACGGCCTTCGACAGCAGTCGATTCGACATGCTACGTTGGCAATGCTAGTATTCTCAATGGTGGCACTCGTTACTAACCTTTGCTTGCCCTATCTCGTCGTCGATGCGGATTCTTCATCTACCTCAGAACTAGAGTGGCAGAAGGAAGAGCGGCCCACAGGTGCAAAATCTGGCATCTTCGTGGTATTGCGAAAAAAACTTGTTAACCGACTAACACTTCCCCGAGTGTGGATGATATCACACATAATCATGGCTTTCGCACTGTTTGGAGTAACTTTTGGAGGAGACGGTTTCATGACAAGTGTATTATTTGTCTCACTATTGGGCTTTTCTTGGACACTTACCCAATGGGCCCCCTTTGCCATGATTGCCGCCGAGATAGCTTCTTCTTCTATACCAGACTTGAAAAGCCTGGAAACAGACACAGAGGATCAATCCGATAGTCCAGAGAGTGTAGCCGACCTGAGACCGAGGGCCGGCATAACGATGGCTATACACAACATTGCCATTGCGACACCACAGATGCTGTCAGCTATAGTGGGAGCTCTAATCTATTGGGTATGTAGACAATCACACACTGGGGAAACTGATGCCATGAGATGGGTGTTGAGAACGGGAATCGTGGCTGGTTTATGTGCTGCTTGGTGTGCAAGGAAATTATGATCGAGGTTGCTTTTGAGCTTGACCTTAAGGACTCTAGGAATTCTTAGGCCATTATCTGGTTACCTAGCTTATACGAAAGTAGTCTGTGTAGAAACTTCCAATCCACCACCACTCCACAGACTTCTGAAATTTCAATCCCGACTTGGATATTGCTTGCTTGCATGCTTTGGGTACACACAAAATAATTGGACTACATAAACTTTCAAAATAACTTCTATCATAACTTATCCAAACATGCGGCACGAAGCTATAAGATGAGATGTAATCCAATGAATAGAAATTACGCGTATAAATAAGCCCTGATAAAGTCTTGAACTAGAGTTAGAAATTATATGAGCATGAATCGTATGGATACCATCCGTAGTATTCTCCAAATAGGTAAATAATGATCAAGTTTTTCCTTGGCACCTAGCAGACGTAATATTGAAGCAAGTCCTCATACTAAGTTAGAGGGGAGATTCACGTCCCACATGTCCCGATTCTGAATGTCCGATTTTGTACGGACTTCACTGGACCCGTTTTTCCAACACTTCTATAGCTACACAACTTGTATAGCAATGCGAACTTCCATTTTTCTACTCTCTGTATGACTACAGGGACTTGTTCTACACTTTATGTTGAATACTACATTTCCATCCAATCTTGTCACCTGTGATCCTTGAGCTCAATTGATTCGGAGCACCAATATCGCCGTCTGTTACAACCTTTTGAAATATTGTAAACCGTTTTCAAGAATTCCTGGTGTGCGACAAACACAGCCGCTCGTCACTTCAAAGCATGGCTCGTTTCGAAGATGTAGTGTTAAAACTCAGAAGATGTATGGAAAGTCTACTTCCGCACAAACTTATAGGATGTAAATCTGACTTATCATCTAATAGGGGCATTCCCTTCCGAGGAGAATAATGGAAGCGATGAAAAACTGCTCGCTAGCACCACCTCATCATCTGTGGCATCAATAGATGAAGACGATTCTTCTTCATCTGAAAAAGAGACAAGATCTCAAACTCATCATAGAATCTTTTTCATCTCCAGCATCCTCGCCATAATCATTCTAGGAGCCGTGACTCTCACTACTCTTCTCGTAGATAGCCACAGTGGAGTTGTACCGAATACCCCCCCGCCGCCTTCTCAAGGCGGCTCCCAAGTGGTCGCCCACTGTGGTATCTCAGCGCAAGAAGCTATGGAACGCGGCTGCCTGTGGGACATTATGTCATTCGGCTGGATTCACCCTCTTTGTTTCGACAAGGAAGAATCTGATCGCTGGGCGGCAAAGTACGGACCATTCGACTGGTACGTTGATGACGGACAGGCAGTAGATGAAAAGGAACAACCTGTCAATGGAACCCTGACGCAGCCGTTGGGTTTGGATGAGATTCCCTTCGCACCATCAGTCTGGACAACTCAAGGGTACCACATTATGCATTGTTTGTATCTATTAAAGATGGTTCATGTGGCGGCATTGAACAGTGATCCGGTAAGCAATGAGGCTGTGAATCTAGGGCACACGGATCATTGTGTGGGATTGATTGGGAATACTGATTTGATTGAGTACGATGCGATCACCACACCAGTGCGGCTACTTTTTGTACAATGTGTTACCCTCCAATGACGAGGAATACAAAACCAGCTGGAAAGTTAATGTAATTTAGACATTTTTACTTCCTAGTGGAGTGGGAAGACTACCTAGATAACGTCAGCAATGGGATCAATTTAAAGTTGTTAGGAATCGTTGTTCATCAACCTTTAGTTACTCAAAATACTCAAAAACTAATAAAACTTCAGAGACCAAAATATCGAGGAATAGTTGGAATGCCTTTCACAAATGAGAACTTCAGGGGACAGTTAAAGACAGAAAAGTAGAGAACAAACAAGTTCAGTCATGCTGGGTTTGCGGAATGCACAAGGTACAATTATTGTACATATATTCATTAATACTTCTTAATTCAATAAGTCATCTGCTAGCAATGCTAGCAATGCTGAGTGCAAGCTCTTAAACTCTTGCAAGAGCCTAGCAAGATCTATTTATACTTCTACAGTCATCATCCCTTCAAAGACACCTAATAGGGCAAATCAAATCCATACAACGTTTGCTTCGTCGCGACTGATTAATCAATATTTTATTTTACTCCATTTTGTTGCGCCCCATTACCATTCCCTTGCCCTCGATTTTGGTTCACGATGGCTTGCGAGTGCTGCTGCTGCTGCTGCTGCTGCTGTGCTGCCTGTTGTTGTGCCTGCTGAGTAATTAGTCTCTGCTGATGATGATTACTCAACATTTGAGCATACATCTGCGGACTAGCATTCTCGATGCCGATTGGCGGTGGTCGCTGTCCTCCTTGACCATTCATTCCGATGCTGTTGTTACCAGCCGCTGCATTCATAGCGCTGGTTGCTATTCCGCTTGGAGGTTGGACCAAGCCTCGCTGCTGCAAATGCCTGTTGTTAGCATATGCAGCTATATTTTCACCCACCAATTTGTGGATTTCGTTTGGAGACGCGTTGGGATTAGCTTTTTTGACGTTTTGTGCTATCTCACTGAACGGGACATTTGGAGGCAGGCCACCATTAGGAAGTCCAGAAGGTGGCAGGTCTAGCCGAGGGGAGCCTGCTTGAGCTGGAGAAGGCGCTGATATACCAGGAGAACCAGCCATACCATTGATATGGTTGTTATTGTAGGAGTTCATGTTATTGGGCATAAATCCAGGCTGCGTAGGCATGCCATTCATTCGTGGAGGGGAATTTTGCGCCTGTCCTGGATGCGGGCTATTTTGCTGCTGCGCCATGCTCTGCATGTGTTGTTGTTGCCTTTGTTGCAAAGCTGCACGACGAGCGCCATCTGCAAGCTCAGGTGTTAGGGCAGGATTCAATGGCAAGCCTCCCTGCATTTGAGCTTGCGGAACACCATTAGACATTGCTTGTGGGATCCGAAGATTGTTGGGCATCGGTCCAACTCCAGCCATGTGAGGGGGCAAAGGACGAGGCCTGTTCTGTCCAGGAACAGCGAGATGACCGTTTCCGTTGGGTTGTCCAATCGGAGGAACGAGACCGTTCGGAAGAGCTGGACCACGTTGCTGGGGCAAGCCATTAGGGTGAGCCTGCTGCTGCTGAAGTGCATTTCTTTGACGAGCTTGTGCTTCCTATTGCGATGTCAGTACGTTTACATAATTTTGGGCGAAATCTCATGACTACTTACTCTTCTAACCTGTTCCTGTCGTAGCTGGAAGGCAGCCATACTTTTCTTGTATTGCTCCTCTCGGTCATGTTTCAAGCGACTAAATTCTTGAGGAGTCTTGATAGGTGTCCATGTTTGAGGTTGTTCAGCTGGCTTTCTTGCTGCGGCCTGTGCGGCAGTCAATTGCTGCTTTTGAGCGGAGTTCTCGCGTTTCTTCGCTAATCTTCTCATTGCATCGATTAAGCTTAAATGTTTCTGGTTTCTTCGTTTCTCCACACGTTGGGTGGTGGTGGTTCGCTTTCGAGGTGGGACTGGTTGACCATTCACGATGGGTTGCCGGGCAGCTTCAGCAGCCATAACCTGTAGATTTCGCTGGGCTGCCTCCATTCTATTGTTATAGGCCTTGAAGTATGCGGTCTTTTGCATTTCTGCGGGTAGCCCTTCTAATGCTATCCATCGTTCAAAACATTCCCAAGGCGTACGTCTCTCAGCACCTGATGAAAATAGCGATCGGCTTGATAACATGTTGGAAATAAGCGACCAATTGTAAGCATACTCTCGTACATGTCTTTTTAACTCGTCGTCCTCGGCACAAGTCCACTGTGAGCATGAGCGATTCTCAAAGAAGCTTTGTACTGGCATGGGAAATTCTGAAGGTGGCCGGAATTGGTGCCCAGCATGAATGCGGTCGCGGATATGCTTGTTGGCGGGGTCAAACAAACCAATATTGGTTTGTTCGGGTGGTAAAAGAGACTTCTCACGTCTAGATTCGTTCATTTCGGCGTCTTCATCTTCACTGTCTTCTTCATACTCGAATCGGCTCCTCTTTCGCGAGGGGCCTTGAAACTTCAATTCCATTCTACCCTCTACGTACTTACTGATACCGACCGCAGGCCGTCTCCAGAAGCGATCGGGATCAACTTCAGAGGTAGGCAAGTCATTGCAAGGAACACTCAATGGAGCACCATATAAGGGCAATTCCTCTAATAGTTTATCAGTTGCAGGAGATCTACTCAATCCAAAGACAACATCGTCATCCTGAAGACCAAAGATCGCAGTAGGGCTGACAGTATCTATAAGACTGAGGCGAAGTTCATCATCAACATCGTCCATTGGAGAATCAAATTCTGCAGAGGCGATCAGTTCAGGAGTAGAGTGTGAAAGAGATTTACTAGTCTCATCATCCATTTCAATGTCTTTCGAGGCATCAGCCAGGACTAATGCTGGGCGAGTAGCATTTACTTGTAGGATTTTTCGTTCCTCAATGCTAGCTTCAAACCACTCTGCACAAGCATATGCCAAGTTCTTAGCCACTGCCATTTTCCATTTTCGTTCTTCACGAAAATCTGTTCGCATCCATTTCGCTTCTTGAAGTAGGACGTCCCAATGTGTTGTTGGCCGGATGGGTTCTTCGGATCGCTTTGGTTGGCGCAGAGACCATTTAGAAGTATTCTGGAGTCCATATATGCGCTTCAAAATCCTTGTAGTCTGATTCTCAGTTATGGGAACAAAAGCATTCGACGTCGTGATAGTTTTGTGAGCGGTTTGTAGTAGTCCATCCAATGGCGGATAGCCTGTTTTTTGTGTGTTGTGGCTATTGAGATACAAACAAGCAAAGTAATCGTCATAAGGAGATGTCGCATGTGCTGCATGTGAATTGGCGCCCTTAGGCATCAAAGCAGTATCGTTGACTCTGGGACCAGAAGTAGGCTTTTTAGCAAACACGACCGTTGAAAGTCTACTTTGATTCTTTTCCTTTGATTTCTGGAGCAGGCTGCGAGTGGACCCCGGCGTACTTCCTCTCGAAGGCGAGTTAACGGCTGATCCGGTATCAGGCTTGCTAGTAGGACTTCTTGCAGAAGTAGGAGAGGTGTTCGGCGCTGGCGTTTCGCCTAGGATCTCAGATACAGACTTATGTCTGATTGCCCCTGAAGCGACTCTTGTCGTCATACGCTCAATTGGCGCTTGAACAGGAGCGGGTGTTGACGACGATGTTTTGCGTGTTGTAGGAGTAGATGTTGCAGATGGTGGCGTCTTGGCATCGGAGGGCAGCTGCATTGGGGTCTCTTCGATAGAAGCCGGTTCTTTCGCATTCGTGACAGGACCACTATCTAGCGTAGTTTGACTTCCAAATGAATCCTTGACAGTAGCCACATCCAAATCCATAGCGTCGACCGGAGTTTGTCCCTCGCCCTCAGAATCCGGTACTTCGTGTGCTTTAAGAGTCGAACGAACCTTTTCGCTTCGCACTGTTTCATCTGGCAACGAAACATTTGCGTCGTCGCCGGTTCTTTCCACGACAATTTCATTTTCTACACTTTTGTCTTCCTGTGCCAGTGGCTTAGAATCTTCAACACCCTGCGAACTCGATGCTTCAGAATCTGCTATCTCAGGAACCGCAGCAATTTTTGAGCCGGCAGCAGCTTGGTCCTCCATACGAAGTTGAGCATCAGCTGACATTGAATTACTACCCAGTGCCTCAGTACCAGAGAGTTCATTTCGAGTCTTGTGTCTGCTTTTGTCTTCATCTTCCTGAGCAATGTTCTCGCGATTGGACTTTACCTCTGTTGAAGTTTTGGGATCGATCTCATTATCTGGGTTCTCAGCCTCTTCGTACCGAGAATTATCATTCTCAGGACTTGTATCTGCAGAAATATCGTGCCGGGCAGGAGTTGTGGTTGAATGTGCATCTATTGTCGAACTTGGAGAGGAAGGTAAATCCACTGCAATCCTAAGTGAATTTGTGATTGGATGTCTGCCTCTATCCCCTGTGTGCTCGCGTGCCTTCTCAATCTCCTCTATTCGGGCTTCTTGAACCTCTTTCGGTGGTAAATGAGCAGTTGCAGCATGATGATTCTCATCATTCGCGCCGAATATAACTGGCTCTTGCAGGTTCGCAACGTCCTCAGCAGATGGAGCCACTGCTTTCCTTGGATCCACTCCAGGGCTTCCAGGGGGGCTTTCCACTACTCTCTTGATACGGTCGACTTCGAAATTTCTACTGGACAAATCATGCTCTTGATCTTGCTTTTGCGCCGCAGTCGCAGGATGACTAGCTATTTCAGGTACCTCCTCCACCGATGAAATAATGGCTGCAGAAGACTCGGTCAGTGAATCTGTCTGCAAGCTCTTCGAGGGAGATCTACGTATAGAAACTCCAGTCGCCCCTGGTGTTGCCCTAACGTCATTTCCATTTGTCTCGACATTCCGTCCTTCGCTACTATTTTCAATTGGAGTAGTCCCACGGCTCTTTCGTGGTATTGCACCATCGCTTTTGAAATAATGTTCTATCTTATGAGATGCATCTTTGATCGAAAGCTCCTTGCCCGCTTGGCGAGTTGCTGATTTTTGTTTCAAGGAATCGGATCGAAGTTGTCGTCGGGTGGGTAGATTTGATTCATTGAAGGGTCGATCTCTATAAATGATGTCAGTAAAAT